GTATTGTTGCTTTAGGTGATTCGAAATCATCAGAAACTTATAACGTTAAAGAATCCGAGACGCCTAATTTAATAATAAATTTCAATTCAGAAATATTCGTTTAGTGTTAATTTTAGTAGGCTACGGAGTTTTGATTTTAAACGTTTGTTTAGCCAACAGCTACCTGGGGATTTAGTTATTTTATTAGTGCAGTTGACAGTACCTAAATTTTTAATCTTATTATCTAAACTATGTTCGCATTTTAGGCTGGTAATATGATAAACCAATTCATAAACCCAAATACGATTAGCAACAACGACTATGATGGGTTTACTGATAAATATTAAAGACGACTCAGAAGATTTCTAAATTTAGAAGACATGAAGATATAGTGCAACGCGTATGTGGGTCAGGTTAACATGCAGGTTCTTGACGTATATGACAATTTAAAAATAATGAACATGATCAGGAAAAGTAATTTTAAAGTCAAGACTGCTTATGAAACTTCAAGCAGGGATGTAACGCATTATAAACTTTCCATGAGAAATTCCTGCATTTAGCCTAGAGACACTGACAAATATATGGCAAAAACAACTGGAAAACATATACATGTTAAGTACAAAAAAATCGTCCAGTAAAATAGTTAAACTCGCCTGGATTATTTTTGAAAATTATATTATTCAGTGGACGACATATATAACGCCATTCGTAAGGAGTAGTAATGATCCAAAAGTATCCAGAATAAAACATGCAGTATGGCAATTAATTCCAGGGTGCTTGATGGTGTTGACGTTTCTGCCACTCGCTCGGATTAGAACAATCGAATGAATTCAGTTAATTGTGTGGTTGTTATTGAACGAGTCATCTAAAATGACTTTATGATTGCAGAAAACTTATAGCTGAAACTCACCGTATGTTTTTGGAGAAGTGTCATCCTTGTTGTTTGGCAATGGAACTCGAAAATATGAAATTAGGCAGGCAGTGGTCGGAAGAAAAGATATTACAGGATAGTGCATAGATTAGAACATGATGAGTTGAAGGAACACCAAGAATTAGATCCAGATAACTATTTAGTCCTTGATCGCATTGTTAGTCAATGTATATTTACGCTATTTACAGGTCATATTTGCTAGAGCTTGATGTTTAAACAAGACTATGTCGCTGAAGCATGTAAATGCTATTACAGCTTGTTAACAAACCATCAAAGCCAATTAGTTAATATAGACGACCGGTTTTTATTATCGATTGAGCTAGTTTGTCATGAGGACTAATCAATATAATATTACGATAATGCATGTGAGCATTAATCAGAGGACTATTAGAATACAGGGTTAATATAAAATCGATCGAGAAAGTTGAAGTGGAAATAAGGATTAATAATAATAGGTTGCGTTTCTTTAGTTGGGCTCACCAATGTAGAACTATGGTCTACTATGATATATGTACTGCTCTAGTAATAGACCTAATCCTAAATTTGTAGATTTGTCATGATATAACTGCCTAATCTATAAGATCTTACGTGGAAGTCACACCATCGACTACACCAACTCACTGTATCGTATCAATTACCAATACATGATGTAGAACAAGGTTACGTTAGAGAAGGAACAATATATTTAATATGAATAGAAGATATGACGTAACATTCAGATGGACCACGCCTGCATGACCGAGCCATGCCATCCGATCAACTCCAATCCATTCAATTCATCGTTCGCGCCTTCTCCATTGTTAGGTATTTATCCGCGTTAAATATTGAATATCTATTTTCTGAGTAGTCTCGTGTTCACAGCTTTGTGGATTGTGTGGCTATTGTCCAATGCCACTACACACCCAGCTCGGGTGTGGTTCACTATGATGTACTGCTAGTAGAGACATAAACCTTAGAAACACCTCTTAGTGTTCCCACATTCGCTAAGCCGAGGCACAGTCCATCATAATTAGGAGCTTACACCAATTACACCAATCTTTAAAGTAGCTTGACGCAGGAATCTTTAGGCCTCTGACCATTAGCACTTCTCTCAAAACATTCGAATTTTATGTGGTCCTTGTTATATGACGGTTTATTTGATTACGTATTATCCATAACCTTCTTTTCACCCCAACAACACGGTCTAAGTAGTCAGCCTTGAACAACCAATCTACTAAGTGTGGTGGATAGATGAACAAACAGCCCTGGGCACATGAAAAATGTCAAAGTTATACATCTTGAATTCTCAAGGACTTTAAATAAGGCCAGTCATATATGTCTCATCAATAACCTCAAACTGTTAGGTATCAAGTCACTGTTAGTTAATCGGCTTACTTCATATTTAAGTGATAGAATCTCTAGAGCCATTGTAAAATTCACTTCTTCTCAGGCTACAGAACGTCCTATTGGGTCCCCCAAAGTTCAGCACTGGGACCTTCATCTTTAGTTCATATGAAAGACCTTCCCAAGCGAATCTCATCTAATTTACAACCCTTCACTGATGATGTGAAACTTCAGACAGACGTTTGCAGCCAAGATGACAAACTAGCACTTCAGGAGAATTCAACTCGATTTCAAAGGTAGGCATATAACAACGAACTTACTTTTACCCTTCCAAGGTATAAACTAGTCCATCCGAGACAAGTAACAGACTACGCATGCCATTTAGAGGCATTTCTGGTCAGTTTGACGATATAAAATTCAATTTAATTTCTAACAGTTCTGTTCGATCCTAATTAGGGTATGAGAATATACTGTTTACTCTCTCATTCCAAAGGGATAACAATACACTGGAATGTACCGAACGGTGAGCAACGAAATCATTTCGGGGACTCAAAGTCAAACCTTATAAAGAGGCCCCCAAGTCATTGAAATTTTGCCCATTAGAGTGTATGCTTCTGAATGAAGACCTTCTAATGACCTATAACATCCCGAACACTCCTGAGCACCCCCTTAAACACCTACCTGAGGGTAACACCCAGAAATTATAGACACAACATGAATTGCCAACTTTTGGGATGTTCGTCCGCCTGAGGTGCTTTAAGCGACTATCCAGGTGTTCCACAAGGGGAAACTTGACATTTTCCTAAGGATTCAGGACAAAGTCTTACGATGATTTGCTAATATTTTCTTTATAATCACTAAATATACATATGTTCCTACCTTGAGGCATCGCTGGTCCACTGCTGCTAGATATGGAAGCCCGTTAAGCAAACGATTCTCTTACTTCATCATGAAAAAAGTGAACCACTTCAGTAAATAGGAAAATTTAAAAAAAAACAGTGGTAAATAAATTCATTATCGAGGTACTTTTCGCTACAAAGGCTATATTCGAGCGGATAGAAAAACTTAACTAGAGGCTCGAAAAATGAGAGCATTACTTAGGAGTCAAAAGTGAGCAACGAGAAGTCAGCCGGCTTATTCTAGATAGTCACGAAGATATTGAATATTATTGAGGCTCTCAATAATGGAGGGCACTACAAGTTCCACATTTTCGGCGGAAATTTGAAGGGTTTCGTGAACAACTGTTGTTTGTAACATGCTCGTTTAGCTAACTTTCTTTAAGATTCGACCACATGAAAATGATATTTATCGGGTTTTAAAACCTCAGTAAAATAATTCACTTTTATGGGTGTCATTAAGAAGCCAGAATTATCTTATCGGTCATAGCATGTTTTACAACTCTTTTCGGTCATTACTAAGTGTACTTATCTTTAAAAAATGTGACCAGAAAAACAGAAGCTAGATTTGTTGGCTCAGTTCGGGGTTGCGTTCTTTTTTACTTTTGTACATTTATTCATGAGTATCGGATGCATCGAATACATATATATATATATATGATGAAGAGCGAAAGAAAATCATATCTAGGGTAACCAAAAGTATAGGGACCAACCGTGAGCATTTGTGGGCAAAGAAATCAAAAGAGATGAAAAAGGCAGCGGCTGTAGGTAAAACAAGACAAGTGTTATTGAGACGACACTCTTATCTGTTTTTAGTCCAAACGTTTAGAACGATGGGCGGAACAGTTTATCTGGTCTACAGCTAATCTACAACTACCCTGAATTTCCAAACGGCCTGAATGGAGTATTGAGGTTGGTCCTCCGACTCGAGTTGAGTTTCAAAAGCTATAGCTAATCTGAAACCAGGAATAGCAGCTGGTCCAGATTGATTAGCTTCAGAGGTCTTAAGTACAGTAGTCGAATTTTAACGATTAGGTTAGTGTCGGCCAAACCGAAACGTGGATTCAGTGCTTGAAGTCGCTAACTTCTAGTTTGGATCATGTTGGTAGATGCAAACTATTTGGTTGTGGTCCGCGTGACTATCGTAACCAATGGTTGGAGACTCTGTGTGACATGGCTCAGAATCTGTCACATTGGCGTAGGTGTATGCACTCTCTATCTTCCCTTAATCTATGAGATTTACATTGCTTTATATCTTTATTTGTACCAACTAATTCTTTCTTTTTGTACTGTATCCTTATATGTTATCTTTTTCTTATATATGACCACCATTGAAGTAACTATTTCTTTGAATTTGGTGTACATCTTGTTGTGTTAATGAAGTATGGCAACTTGGACCGATGCATATATGTGCCTGGTCCTACGCTGTAGCTGACTGACTGATCCAGTACATCATAGTAATTAATGTACTTGGATTGAATATTAAAGTACGGCCATGGTCAATGTCAATCTTGGGCCTAGAAAACAAGCAACTTTTAGATATCTTCATATATGGCGTTGTCTGTCGTCAGATTTGTTGAGCTTATTCACGCTATGTTCCTTTGATTCTCTTTACACCATGTCTTCAGCCTCATAATCCGTGAAATAAGTCATATGTTCTTGTCTAAATAATGTACATAAGTTACTTGATGCGTCAGCTGGCTTTTATTAACGGTAACAAGTATTGTTTAGTTCCCAGATCCATTTTCCACCTATCAATCTATTTAAACTTCATTGATCTGGACATTTCGCTAAGTGCCGGTTACCAGAGAAAAATTAACTACCCCATCGTGGTATATGACCAAGAATTCCACATTTCAGTCGGCTTCCCTATGTACGAAATTCTTAATTGTATATTTTATTCCTTCCTGTTCATATCCGGTCTATATTTCGCCGGTGGAAAGTTTCCAAGGTAGGTACGCTTGAATAAATTCACTGGTCAATTTTAGAGACCATCCGGAAACAATCAAGAGAAGAGTTGTCTCCGTGTTCGTGACAGGATCTATTTCCATGATTCATATACTGACGTACATACGTTCCTATGATCGACCTCCGGTTAGTGCGATCTTATTAATAATTTCTTCTAGTTTCAGTTATCTTCATATGAATTTGGGAAACTGTTTATTAGGCTGGATGGCTTATTAGAAGCAGTTATTATATCTGTCATACTTACCTTGGTTTGTTGTTATTGTCTCTGATATTCATACAAAATCAGGTCATGTACTTTGGCGTTGTATTGGATGATATATGTAGTGGAGATATGTTAGTCATATTTGGTAATGACCACTATCATTGCTTTTGTGTTTTAGGTTTTCTATATTTTTTCTATATTCTAACTCGCTGAACACAATATTTCGTACAACGAAATTAGTATATAGACCAAACTCAGATTGATGTAAAAATGCGGTTTAAAATTGAACCGACCCAATAACGGCGAAATGTATATATATATTGAACTCATTGGTTGGCATATATGTGTTTGGATGTAGATGTTTTTTTCATCACGATTTCGCCCAAACATTTTGCGTTGTTTCATACAAAATTACCAGTTTTGTTTTTATAATATCCTTGCCCAAAGATTACGCCAAACAGCCAGATGTTAATTGGTTGAAAAGTGAGTGGTGTACAAGCCAATTTCCTCCGATCACCTATGACATTTTATGTTTATTTTGTGTCCTCAAGTGCCCTGGTACGGCCGAGAGTGGGGAGAGTCAGCTCTCCCTCTCGAAATGCTCTCAAATGGCCACGCGTATATAGCCTCTGCTATTGTGTTGTCTACGAAATTGAGAGGACAAAAAGCAAATGTCTGGCTCTTTAACCGAATTAGTGGACACGGAGAGTCCACCCAGGAGAGTTGTAAAACCCTGATTCCAAATTAATGGTGCACCTGGGCTCCAGTATCCTGAAAGAACAAATGTCGTATGAACCAATCGTTGGCCACGGGCTACCATGGGACTGCATCTCCTTATATTGTTCCAGTGCCTTGTGGATCAGACCTTTAGGTCGAAGGCTCGAGGTGTGGCCTCTTAAGAAAACGACCTGCTTCGGTTTGGGCACCCGGTCAGTATCACAGCCCTCACATATATCAAATGAGATTTGTGTGGCGCATATGTATCTGGTGCCTGCCTGTACCAATATCTATGTGTTAAAATAAATAAATAAAATCATATTTTGTATAGACATCCTACTTTACTACATGAAAAATCGTTCATCTGGCTAGTTATAATGTCTCTGATTTCCAATCATTCGGGGGCCTAAGTCAATTATACGGTCTCATGAGTCGCCATCACTCGGTCAAATTATATCATTACGTTTATCTATCGATTCTAACCGAAATTTCGTCTCACGTCATAACAATAATTTGAGAGTACATCCACATATTTTTAAATAATGTAAATTTGTTCAAACCTCCATATACAAAATTGCATACACAATTTTGACAACACTAAGAACTCTAAATAAGTTTGTCCTCGTATATGTCTCAATTCGATGAAAACCTTCAAAACTGTCTCAATGTATTATCTGTAATGATACCGCATTTCAGTTTATACATGTCCCAGTTTTAAACTGTTTGATCAATAAGTTAGAATTAGTGAAACATAGACAGTGGGATTAATAACTAAGAAAGGTGGATTTCAAGTCCACTAAAGCATTAGCCTTCCCTTAATACTAACAATCATACCTAAAACAACAAACTTCATGATCAAAAACTTGTGTAACCTTTAAATTGTAAAAACAGACTGAATCTACGGTTTCGATATTTTCCTGTTGATTTATCTGTTTACTTCGTGTATATATCGAATAAAACGGATCGATTTACTTTGGATTTATTACTTATAGATGTTCAATACTGGAAAGATCGTATATTTAACTGGATAAGTTTAAGAAATTTTGTAATAGCTCCTTTGGCTGAAGAACTCATCTTCCGTGCATGTGTTACATTTCATCTACTTCCTTTGTTCTCATCATGTGTTGTGCTTTGTTTCGTTAGTTCATTATTTTTCTCTTTAGGTAAGTATTGTTTTGAAACTCGTACATAACTAGGACTTTTTCTGATTTTACTTATTACTTGATAATATTCATTAGTTATTGGTTTACTTTGATGCGGATTTTATAACTGTTTCTTCTTTATACTCCTGACCACCTCTCTACCTATTGAGTTAGAATTTTCACTGGAGTAATTTTTTGAAAGTTATTTCAACCAAAGTTTATTCAATTTGCCTGCTAAAAGCGTGATGACTTAGTGACTGAAGCGGTTAACTTTCATCCATTTATTCACAGGCTGTAATCCTGCTATATCTATTTTAGATTAGTAAGCTACTTAGTTTCATTCGTTTTATCACATAGAGTGGAATGTACTTCAATGATAACCGCATAAAAATGTACCAGTTTAAATTCAAAGTCTGCTTGCTTTCAACAAAATCGTTATAAGTGGCATCTTATTCCCCCAAAAACGCAAACAAAGCAACACCGGATCACTTTATAGAGAACCAGATCGATCACATTTTCATCAATAAAGAGTTCGTAAGGTCAATGAGATACGTGAGAACACAGAGAGGAAATAATATTGATTCACATAACCGCCTTATGGTGGCCAAGATGAAACTGAAGCTAAAGAAGCACTGGGAAACAGAAACGGGATTACTAAGTTTAGTATAGCCCTCCTTCAAGATACTGACAAACCCAACGAATTCAAGATAACTCTTGAGAACAGGTCCCAAGCCTTACAAGACCTTTTCAGAGAAGCGGAAACTACTCTGGATGAAAACTTGAAAGGTATTAAAAAGGCAGTAACTTTGACATACCAGGACGTCCTGGGCCACAAGAAGCACTATCGTAGAGAAGGGATCTCCATAGATACCTGAACAAGATTCAATAAAGGAAAAACAAGATGACAATCACTAACAGACAAACAAGACTAGAGAAAGCACAAGGCAAATACACAGAAGCAAACAGGCGAGTGAAAAGGATCATTAGAGTTGGTGAGCGGAAATATGTGGAAGACCCAGCAATGACAATGTAAAAAGCTGCGAGAAAAAGAAATAAGAGACAACTGTAAGACAGCAAAAGAGCTCGCTGGAAAATATTGTAAATCCGAGCGACCAGTCAAGAACAAAAAAATCAAACCAATCACCGGAATTCAAAAACAGGCACAGGTAGTTATAACACTTAAAACCTATTTGTCGAAGGCATATTGATTTGCAAAACTCTCCATTTTCGTTCCTTTCGCCTAGTCCGTATCTCCATATGGAATCATTATTCTCGGTGTTGTTCATTCCGACCCTCGCGTTTAGGTCTCATATTAGGTTGGTCTTTCTTCTGGTCAGTCTTTTTCTTATCAGGGTTGTTTTCTATGGGATCCGGTTGCTGACTCCATGCCAAACCCTCCTGCGTTATCCTCCAAACGCTCTGGTACGGCCGAGCGAGGGGAAATTCAGCTGTCCCTCTCGAAATCGAATAATTTATGTGGCGCATATTTGTTGCCTCCTTGTACCAATGTTTATGTGTTTAAATAAATAATCCGGGCTTGGGACTAGCAGTAATCCTAGAAGTGCTCATGATGGTTTACCGTACTTAAACTCTACAAAGTTTTAGAAAATTTGTTTTGTACCAAATCTCTTAGTAAAATTGCGCAATTCATGAAAGTGAAAAATAACTTAAAATATTATAAATCTTATAGGTTTAATTAAAATAATTACTTTGCTCCCATTTTTTACAATGGTTGCCTTGTACTTTGGTATCCCAAGCTGAATCATCCGTCCAGCTGCCTTAGTCATTTGTTCATTATTAGTTCCAGCTGGATGTGTACACAACTACATGTAGTTCCACTGATAAATAGCTAAATGCATGCACCTATGTGTGCTTATAAACTGTATACAATATTAAATAGAAATTCCTCTTTCATTAAATCAAGTACTTTGTAGGTTTATACCAATTACATTTTGTTGTTATTGTCGTTACATGTAGCCCATTTTCATCATGTTTTCGAATCAGTGAAAAGTGGTCAAGATCTGCCATCTGCATTTAAAACTTCACGTGAGTCCATTTATATTTCACAAACTTTTTTTCATGAACTTGTATAATATATTGAATAAAGTAGCTATATTAAATCAACAAATCTCATAGTTATACACGTCGTTTATGTTGTGTTTTACTACTCATGTTAAACAATAACTAAAGACATATGAAGGAATTTGTTAAAGACAGTAAAAAGATTGTCATCTTACGAATAAAAGTGCCTAAATCAAGAAATATCGTTTGTTTCGTTTCTCTCGCATATAGCAGAGCTAACGTGTGATTAATGCTAACGTCAAGGATAAGTAAAAATTATTTCATTTGATCGATCTGTGAACCGTTATCGACTGAGGTAGCCGAAACATGTGGTACACATGTCTCGTAGATGAATTGCTTGTTATCGCAAGTTGAAGAAGGAGAGAGTCGGCCAAAGTAATTCACAACATCATTTCATTACAGTATTCGGCTGTTTTTCTAAGCCATATAAGAAAACACATACCCCATAAGTGTTTAAATTCGTTCATTTAAGTGCCTGTTTGTTGAAAATGATGACTATATGTATTCTTTTATTCGTCTTAAACAATAATGCAAATGTGTCTGGGCTACGTTCTTCTCCCTCTGAATGTAAAACGTTACTTTAGGACTCACTGTTCTACGTTCCTGACAAGATTGTTTGCATTTATTCATTCATTTCTTTAAACATGTAAACATTGGTACAAGGAGACAACAAATATGTATGCGTCACACTTCATTATTCGATTTGTATAATGGATGCGGGGCCGCTCGGACGCCCAAAACGAGGAAGGCTCAGAGAAAAAACCACCAAGAAATGGAATTAGTTTTCATTCTATTTCATGCATACTAGACCATTTGACTTCAAATGTCATTCAATTTTTATTGACATTGTTAACACACTTCTGAACACTTGAATAGCTTGCTTTTTGTATTCATTTTAAAACTTTACAATCTATATATAACACTCAATAATCTTTTAGTTACTGTTTTGCAAGTTTGGTTATCTTAAAAAATTTAACATCCTTTACTAATTTCCGAATATATACACAATTAGACAGGAAAGATTCTTCTAAACTATTCGCTCTGATATTCCCATTCTTAGTAGATGATTTCGAGGTATACTGAGAATTCCTCCGTAAATAGACGTTTCGCACTATTATTACTAGTTGGAGCTGCAATAATCATTTCAGATTTTTTTCTGACTCCTTGCGATGTGGGGAAGAGCTTCCAGGATCATCTAGGGTATTGTAGAATTGCATTATTGGTTTTTTATTTCTTTTCACAGACTGTCCGAATAACCCAACAATACAAACATGCTTAATAATCTTATTTCTTTTAATCACAAATGTATTTTCATACACAAGAAAATTATCTTACCACGAAACGCATTTGATAACTCGGTGTTTTAATCGAAACAAATGACAACTATTTCAAGTCTTATTGCATAAATAATAGTCTCATGCAATAAGTGTGGCTCACAAATCAAATTTACCTGTGTGTAGTCACAGACCCTCGTCTCTTTATATGTGTGTTAGATACAAGATGGATAATTGTCATAATCACCAAACCATTTCTTTTACTATGTTCTTATAGTGACCTACATTTTATTACAAATAAATTGTAAAGCCTTATTTTTTTTACCTAGTTTAATCAGATTGATAAATAGTATAGTAAATTAGGATCTACCTGCAAACACTCCCATTGTAAATCATAACTTCTTCACAAATGCAAAACTTGAATCCTTGTTTATAATAGTTAGTTGGTACTAAGACTGACATTCCTTCAGGCCCCAATTATCAAAGGCCCCCTGAATGCCCTGGTACGGCCGAGAGTGGGGAGAGTCAGCTCTCCCTCTCGAAATGCTCTCAAATGGCCACGCGTATATAGCCTCTGCTATTGTGTTGTCTACGAAATTGAGAGGACAAAAAGCAAATGTCTGGCTCTTTAACCGAATTAGTGGACACGGAGAGTCCACCCAGGAGAGTTGTAAAACCCTGATTCCAAATTAATGGTGCACCTGGGCTCCAGTATCCTGAAAGAACAAATGTCGTATGAACCAATCGTTGGCCACGGGCTACCATGGGACTGCATCTCCTTATATTGTTCCAGTGCCTTGTGGATCAGACCTTTAGGTCGAAGGCTCGAGGTGTGGCCTCTTAAGAAAACGACCTGCTTCGGTTTGGGCACCCGGTCAGTATCACAGCCCTCACATAAATCGAATAATTCATTTGGCGTATATTTGTTGCCTCATTGTACCAATGTTTATGTGTTTAAATAAATAATAAATAAACAAATAACTTTAGAATATAAAAATACACTATGAGTTTATGTGGCAAACTTATTTAATAATCCAATCGCTTGAAAATTATATGTTAGATCGCTTTAAAAATATTAAGACAATTCGACTATTATGTGTCTCTTAATATAACTGACAAAGGATGATTATATCCGTAATCAACTATAAATGGGATTATCCAACAGAAATAAACTAATTTAAGCAAAATAAAATATTAAAAGTAATGACGCCAACGTGAGTACAATACTGAATAAAGAACGTATCAAAATGGAGGACGATGGGGATAGGGTTACGATTTATTGAACTCTCTAAGGAGTATAAAAAACAGACACATTTACATAAACATGGCATATCACCGTTAGTTTTCAACCAACTACGACGCCTACCTCTCCAAAGTGACTCAAATCGACAGTTTTTAATTTGATAGACTAATACCACAAATAGATCTACTGTTGTCTTTTCCTAACCTACTTCTGCTACTGGCCAGCAAAATATTTCACTGTAGGTTTTGATTAGACATTCTGACACATGTGCCAAGTAATGAGTGTTCATTATCTCGTTAACCGGTTTTCCAATATCCCTATACTCTAGGTACGATAACATTTGTCACTTCGTAACTCACGCTCGACTTGTGCTTAAAAACTTTTGTAATTAAACACTTCTGAAAAATGTTTGTGTTTTTTATAGAGTACGTTTCATACTCATCTATGAATATTAAGCGGATATCTCGGTTAATTCAATGTTTGGATAAGTTGGCAATACAAAATGAAGCTTCTTAAAATTATTCATCTAATCTAGTAAGACTATTATGATAAGCAAAATGATCACGGTAACCATTTCCATATTTTCCTCATACTGAGCTACAAAGATTTAGGTAAAGATACCAAATACCTTAATACTTGGCTGCTGTTCTTAGTCTACACTTTACTTACTTTCTCTTTGTCAGTTATATAGTATTAGTAGGCCTCATATCAAATGTGTTTCAAGTGTATTGCGTGACATTAGCACAGTAGATCATGTCTAATATTGTTTATTTTTGTTCACTAATAAACCATAAACAGCATTGTGATGATATTTGTCACCTTGTTATTTGTGACTTTATTTTAAGTTAGCTGGTGGCTTTTAGTTAATTGGAATTTACTTCTCACAAGTAATTTGTAATTTTGGTTATTAGAATTATAACCATGGAATCTAAACACATTCTAATTATTATATTTATCTTCTGAGTTTTCATAAAGTTTCTGTCGCTTCTTATTACTGACTTCATTGTGATCATTTAAAACGTTATTTATTTTTAAAGTTTTCCAAGTGTTTTACACAACTCTATTTGGAACGTATTCTGGATTTTTGATGCTAAGAACTGGTAAGTTTATGTATTTTTAGTTGTACAGCATACACTTTTTATATTCGTGAAGTTATTTTTAAAATTGAAAACTGCAATATCAATAGTAGGCCTTGATATTACGTCACTGTAGGCAATCTGTAATTAACGAAAAATACAGTCGATGATAGAGCTGAGATGTATATTGGTAAAATATAATCCCTTAATAACTTTGCTTTTCTATGCAATAGGATGGTATTTCATTGTTTGTACGTTATTGCGTGATTTCACCATTCAGTAACGTTACTAACGTATGTATGCGGCTCTTCGAACAGCTTTTTAAAGCTGCGCTACATGTCAAGGTTATGGTAGTGTGTATTAAGGAAGATAAGCGTGAAAATTGTGTCTAGTAGACGCTTGGTTAATCCGTTTCCTATGTTAAAATTCGAAATCACAATGAAATAACAAAATTGTAAAAATTAACCAGTAAGCATCGTCAGTTTTTGAAGAATCCTCTCATACAGTTTATTAGTCTCACTGAAGTTATAGTGATCTAGCATTGTGAGTGACATTTGGAAGCTTATTCATAAACCAAATCATAATAAATATACACAAAACATCCTTCCATTTGTTTCAATAGATTAATTCAATGTAAAATTTGAGCTAAAAACTATTAATATTTTCTTTTCATGGTCATTTCTATGTCCATTAGGATTTTATGATATTTGAAATAAATCTAGATCTATTCAGTTTTACGAAATTTTTTAATGAAGCGTTATGGTACTTTAAGCAATTATTGTAAGTTATACAATACATTTTTACACATTCTGTATCTGAACTGGTTAAAAAAGTATTCAGTCAAGTGCAAAACTTGTATAATGCGGACAAGACTGAACTGGTATTAATCGTTGCTCAAGGTTGTCTGTCGGATGATGGTTATTAAATAAAGTTTGAATGGAATTTGTTGTGTTTACAAAATTCCGTCTTTGTACTACATGATTTTAAAGCTAGTGAGACAGTTGATAAGGTTGATTCCGGTCTGTGCGCTGCATTAAGAAGGATTTATCCAGTCTCTGAACTGGTATCATTGAGACATTCGAAAATTGTGAAATACTCACTTAACGTTACTTCCGATTTCTCTTACCAGTTTAAAGTGCGTGGCGAATCCCATACATTAGATGAACAGAAATGAGTGTTCTCGATGTCATCTCCAGTCATGTTCTTCACAAATTAGGACTAAGAGGTCAACATTACTTTCAACTGTGTAATCACCCGCCATCTACTTGATAGCGAACATGACTTTGGAATTTTACGATCGTTCTGAAATGTTAGTAACCTTATGACTTCGGACTTATTACGTTTTAATCAAGCCATCACTTTCAAACGACTCAACTCGGATTTATGCTTTCAAAAATTTACTGTTCTCAGTCTTACAATATCCTAGTGTATTCAGTTCCCAATACTTAGTTGCGTGACGTAACCCTTTATGTCTGCAATTATAAATTAATTTTCTTTACCCCTTCTTGTATCTTACACGAGCTTTACTCATTGTAATCCCATAATCAATTCATGTTTGTAGTTTTTATTATGTAACTTTGAAATTTTCAGTAGCTTGTCTCCAGGAGTTTTAAAATTTTCGCTTTGATTTCACACTTTATCTAACATAGAAATTTTCAACCACATGAACGTCTCTTATAATTTTTTCATACTTATTGCTACTTTTACTAATTACTGTTGATGGAAACTTTGCTAAAATCATGATATAAAGTATGTACAACGTTTTCTAAATACTTAATACTATCTTTTCTAGGTTCTAAGCAATAGAAGAGAATTCTCGAAATAAATCAGTTCATGTTATTCCACTATGATCTTTGTTCTGGCTTTATTCAAATTTAGAAATAGGAAATATTTTATGAAATAGCACTTTTACTACCAACTGTGCTGACATCGGCTCTAAATCCAGATTCATTCTGAATATGTCTTGAGCATTTCCAGTCTTAGTAACAATTGTATGTTTAGTCACCTCGCGATCTATTATTTAGTGTAATTATTGTTGACATAAATACGATGTACGACAATCCGTTTGGGTTTGAACTAGTGACTTAGGCACTCAACATTTGACTAATAGATTTCAAGACTCCAACCACAATTCATCTAGTTGTGTTTGATCAACTGATTAGTCCACATTAAATGCGGTTTGCAGTAAAAGGCATAGAATTATGTTTGTTATTTGAATTGTATTAAGATCAAATTTAATCGGAAACTTCAGTCAAATATTTTATCACGCTACAGAACAAGGGTTATGTTGAGTAATAAGATCACTATCATTATTAGGATTTGTGTATTAACAGTTGAATTCACAAGTCAATCTATGACAGACCGCCATTGAAAACCTGGACGCGTGCGGGACTGTGAATGTGCACTACTGAGGAGTCACATACTAGGACGAAACGGCCATCGAGTACTTCCAAGTTTTAAATGGTGTTCTAGCTTAGATTGATTCGTGAATTTAACTGCTAAAATTAGATCGCTGTGTTATGAATGCAGAATAATATACTAGTCATTATCATGTTAAGTCTAATGATGTCCTTGGACCTTAAATGGACATTCCCTATTGGCCATTATTTCTTTCACTCGTTAAATATTGTACAGATGTTGTTTTCTATTTTTATGGTACGATGTGGTCTGTTTGGTTAGTATATAAACAGAGTATGTTTGAAATATAACGATTCATAACTCAGAGGCTGTGACTTGCGTTCTAGACTCAACTGGCTGGGCTAGACAGGGGAGCGGGACCAATCGGGACTCTAGGTCGTCCTTACGTGTTTTACGTGTCACTGGATCGATCGATAATACGCTGCGCATTTAACCTGCAGTCCACCCGTAACAACAGCTGTTTGTTTTTATGGTTACACACACCATATGATCTGACTTATGTTGAAAATTGATCTAATCACACATATGTGTATCGGATTTGAAATTCTAAATGGTTTACACTAAACAGCATTTGGTTTCATAATTCTTCAACTGTGATTCTTACAGAAATATTTAACATGGTTACTGTTTAAATACAGCTTACAAATTTCGATTTCGTTTTGTTATATAAATGTATGATTGAATTGTGCATCCAATAAATTTCTAACTGCATAAGATAGTATAACATCGTAAAAATTGACTATTTCATGTCTAGTGGAGATCAGTCGCGAACTAAATTAGTAGTGTAACTACGGGTGACTTATTTTGTTCATAATTGGTCTGTAGATATAGCGCTATTGATTTTGTTTATGTTATGCTATTTTGTCCTGTAATACCGATTTCAACAACAATATTGGTCAACTCTAAGCAGATGGTAAGACATCTATATTCAAAAAAGCAACAAATTGGTCATAACATTGTATATGAATCTTTTCTTGCTGATATCTGTTTTTGTACACTGTTCTATAAAATATTTGTTTTCGTTTAAGCACTTAATTCCTGTGTACTTTGTATACATTGTAAAGATTATTACAAAATAAGCCAAATATGTAACATTTTTAAATCAGTTATAAATGTGTTTTGAACTTAACCACATTACGTGAATATTATTTGATGAAAGGAATTAGAATAATTTTATTTTATTTATTTGGATACGTCTTTAGAGTCTTATAAATGGTATGTTTTTTTCTTCTGATATTGTTACCTGCATCTGTCTACTGGGTGATTTAACTCCAAAACTTTAACTAGTGTTCTGTACCTTAGGAACCTTTGCACCATCAGAAGCGTCCGACTGAACAACAAATCTTTCTCATGAATTCAGTATTTCCTTTAGTAATTTTTCCATCTATTTTCTTAAGAAAAATGAATTGCGATATACGTTGTACTTTCCAAATAATGAGGTTTCTTTTGTTGATTCATTCATTATAATTTGTTCTTCGACCTGATAGTAGATCGTTACATGTAGTTTTGCTACTTCCTTTCTGTTGATTTTTTTAAAAGATGCATTCTACAATAATTCATCATTTAGGACGTTGGTATAAATCTTAATATGATTCGCGTAAGAACTACACTGTTTTTGAAGCAGTCAGGAATTGTCGAGTATGTATCTTATTTAGCAGTTTACTTGCCAGCTTATTTTTCCATAGTAACACTATTAAAATGAACAGAAATGTTTTAATAAATGTATTCTCTGGAAACTTGTAGATCATTACTTGACATATTCTAGTGTATACATATAATGCGCTCAGTTGTAAAAGATAATATACTCTAGTGAAAACTCAGATGTGACTGATAAGTTTGTTACAATGTTCTGAATAAGTGTTAGTTTTGTATGTTATGTCTATATTTAAATATAAAATTGTTTGTTCCACTTGTAGAAAAATTTCCTTAATGTCTTGTAGCCATGTCGCAAGTATATGTGATAGCATGAAATACCTACCTATCTATGTTTTGTCAATCTTAGTAAAAATTTAATTTACTAGCTACTTTTTCAATACACATTTCATCATATTTTGTTTACTGTATAGGTAATATTGCTTCAAGTATTGTTACACACTCCTTGTGCAACTTCTTCGGCTTACCAGATTTAATAGGTGCCATCGAAAGAGCTAAGTATCGTTGGGGTGTCTCTGGTCAAATTTTCGCTATTGGATCTCATCTTTTGGGGTTACTTTTATGGGCATATTTGTTATATCAAATAACTGAAACAAAATGGTCCTCATCAAACAACTGTCATTGTGATTGGTATTGAGAGTTTTCATGTCCATATGAATTATTATTTTTGGTGTTAATAGGACTGTTAAAATGCTTAGATCTTCGTTTCAAGTAGACTGAAAATTCTTATCTGATATACAAATATTAAACATTTCTATAATCCCGGTAAACAGCAAATTTCAGTTTATCGAAGGTACAAAAGTAGTAGGAATTAAAACAGATTTCACACGAATTTCAAGGCTTCACCTCATATTCGGAGTTGTAATTAGATTTTGTGCTGTTAAGTATGTACTTGTACGTCATTAGTTTTTTTTTTACATTGTAAATGTGTACTCTTCTAAAATCTGTCATAATTATCAAAGTTTTCTGGTTTTCCTGTTTTTCGGTAGACGATCTATTACGTATATTTTAACAATATGTAGATTAATTACTCGTATATTAATTACTGTTTGTGTCTCATAGACCACTTAGCTGAATTCTTCAGGTGCTACATAGACATATGCTCAGCTGAGTGAATTTCAGTAATTGCATGCTGTCATTGAGATACCACCTTACTAATTAAGTCCTCCGTTGTTCGACCGCATGCAATGGAAAGCTGGGAAGCTAGTTTGGGGGCTTTCGTATCATACGACTTTCATGTATGTGGAAAATGAGTACTTAGAAATATTTATGCTCTTATATCCTGGGACCATCGAGTAAGTAATACAGTTGTTAGGAAATGGGTATTACGTAAGGATGGCAAATCAATCGATGACGTAGTGAAACTTCATCAGTTGAGATGGCTGTGACATGTGTTACGTATGCCCAACCACCGACTGCCTCGATGCGCGATACTTTGTTTTATAGGAGTAGATTGGAAGAAAGCTAGGGGTGGCTAGATCAAAATATGGCACAAAACCATGGAGTCACTGACAAGTTAATTGAGTCATATTGGTAGGTGTAGACTACCCGGTTGGGGACCGCGAGATGATAGCAACCGATGGTTAGAGACCCCGGGTGACATGGCTCAAAATCGTTTGCAATGGCGCAGGTGCATCCACTCTTTGTGTCCTTCCAAATCCCAACCTAAATTCTTCATGTCCCTTTCTTTTTCCTCTCCGAATTTATTTCACTGGATTATACTCCTTGAATAACATCTTCAAACCCTAATTTTTCTGATTACAGCTTATAATTTTACTACATCTAGCACTACGGGATTTGAATCGAATACTACATCTCTGTGCTAATGTGGTGTGGCAACTCGAACTGATGTACGTACGTACGAAGTTATACGTTGTTACTGACTGACTGACTTTATGGACACATTCAGTTCAATTCATTTTTCATAAACATCATGTTCCTTTAGAGTTTTTACGCTTATTCGAGGGTTCCTTTTAGTTTGGTCTCTCTGTTTCTGGAAAAATCTTGTGATTGAAACAAGTAAGGATGCTTGAACACTTCATTCCTCTGAACAATAATCTGAACCCACAATTTTGTATTTTAACGGTTTTGTTGTCACCAAGTACTACTGCTAGTTTCGCTGTTGAATTTCAGATAATTCTGGGTGTATACATCAGATTTGATGCAGGTGTATGTATTTTTAGAGTCTCCATAACCAATCTTGATCTATATGTTATACTTTCTGCATTTTCTCCGCAAAATGTTTCCGTACATGATGTGCATCATGTGAGTTAATCTGAAGTGACTACAAACGTTTGTGGCAGTATATAATTTAAAGTTGTTAGTTAATGATTAATTTCGGAAACCCGCATACTGGTTTTTCCACAAATGCAACTCAGACTAATCAGCTTAATTGTAAATTAGAGAGCTCTGCCTCACAATTGCGTCTATCTACTTACAGAAAATATTGAGAACGAGTTCCTATCAGGTTTGCTTGGTTTATATTGAGAGTCGTGACAATGTGAGTTTTGACCATTTACATTCTTCGCTCTTATAAAACTACTAGGTTGAATATATGTATCTGTTATGCTCGTTAAGATTGAGTGGTACTACTGATTCATCTTACTCGGAACGGAACGAAGAATCAAGCAACCAGAGACTCGATAGGCTATACTGGTCCGTTGTTCCCGACTCAGCTTACTCGGTCCAAAAGTCTTGGTAAGATGTAGAAAGTGTATTCTACAGGCAACCACAAAATACTGGGTCCATCAAGCACACAAATCAAGCGTATTTAAACACAATATATATAATCGGTATTGCCATGGAAGTTTTTAAACATTTAATCGATAAGTTCGTCGGTCGACTATGTTCGTGGGTGGTAAGAAATACCCAGGCATACTCCTGCGTACATGCTCCACGAAGATGAAACTACAAAGTATGAGTTTCTGGGGTCTAACTTCCCCAACAGTGTTGCAGTCACTTGATGCATCAACGTTTTTGCTTTTGCAATCTTCATAGTGTTAGCCGAAACTGCTTATTTTGAATAAGTTTTCGAAAATAACAGCGGGTAAATTTACATTTAGTATAGTCGGATTTCAACGCTTTGAGATGTCGCACCAGATTCCAAACCGATCCTTCCAAAGCCGTATGATCACGTCATCTAACAAGGTGGGCTTGTGTGTAACTGCGACTGTTGTAATATACATAGTTAAGATGTCTAGAAGCAGTATGTTTTCCGGTATCAACAAGCCAATTGTAAGGTTTGAGATGACCATGTCTTAAAATCCTTGACCCGTCCAATTTGTTGAGACTCACGAGGTGTCTAGGTTCACTTAAACTACTTCTGGGAGTGAATATATGTTATACAGTCTACATACAGACCGATTGTACGACAGGACTTTAACTGACTGATAAAGCTTGAGTAGATCTCCAAACGGTCACTGTGTAAAAAGTCCTCTTTCCTGTTCATCTAGGGACTGAGCACTAGTTTTTCTCATTGGCAGTTACCAAACTATTTTGACCATCCTCTTTGAATGGGAACCCAGATATCTGTGTGCCCCGACTATGACGTTTCTGAGTTCTAACTGGTCCTTTCCCAGTACTAGTATTACTACATGCTTAACAGACTAGAGTGTTAACTATACTATCAAGCTATATATGTGTATCTACACCTCTTAGAAAATCAATCCATTTCTTTAACCACAGGTAAGCAGAAATATATGTATTGCGTCTAAATGCTAAATTAGTATGTAAGTGTGACAGATATCGAAGCCTAAACAGCACTCCTACCCAAAGGCTACCTGTTAGTTTTCCTTTTTAGATCTTTAATTTTTTCGTAGTATTAACGTTATATTTGGATTTTATTAGACACCACAATGGATTTCATACCAGTCCCGAAGTTACTTAAGAATATATGACACATATTACAATAAAAAGTGCAACATAAACAACCCCTTGAACGCGATAAAATGAGCTGCCTTGGTAATTAAAATACATCAGCATTCACAGTCCAAGTGAATTGATCAAACCATTGGGTTCTTCTGTGCATGGTATGAGATGCTTAGTCACCTACAGTCAACCACCATGTCCCAAGATCGTCAACCCATTAGTTGGCAAACTAATCTTGATGGTAGTATACTATAGTCTTAAGTCATATCGGGAACTACAATACATTTCATCAGTAACTATAAAAAGGATGCAAACTTAGAGACGTTATATGACAACATTATTATCGTATGATGATGGCAATTGAGTACATATATCAAATATTATTTCGTACATAATCACAAACTTGGTTTGTGTTTTTGAATCATGGACTAAAATAATTTAATACAATGTGGTGGTTTTGCTTCGTTAACCGATCACCCTCGTAACCGATATTATATAAACATCAACGGTGTTTGAAATCAGAAGGAAAAGAGAAGCGGAAACTACAGTTTATTAGCGGATAGCGCAGATCGCAAAGCTATAAGCACATCAAGCGAATCGTTAGCAGATAGGTGAATGTGTATATGCGAGCAACCACATATGCAAATTTATAGCCAAATTTCATAAGAGCACAGCAAGGCGAAGCACGTGCTAGTAATGTGATTCGCGGACATATTTTCTTAATGGAGTACAACGAATCACTGAGGGATGTTTTTGCGATCGAAGCAGCGCAAAGAATTATTCGAAATGTTATTGTCTAAATAAAATTGTCTGTTGAGTCAATAAAAGGTCTTGAACAAAATTACCCAAAACAGTTTTTGTTTACATGATAGTTGATATAACCAGAATGATTATTCGATATGGGTTTTAATTGGAATCATTAACCGACCAGTGTTATAGCAACGTTGAAAAGCTTGGAGCACTGAATGTCCGTCTCACTATAGGATGATACTCTATAGAAGTACGTAGTTATGAACCTGGACACGAAACTCGAACTCAGGAAGTCTCATCTCACGCGAACGACTAACGTATGGACCACTGAGGTGGTTTCCTATTGCGTTGGTGTGTGACTTCAATCAATTTACAATATCGCGCGGTTATGTTCTCTTGTATTCATTCGGTAACTACATCACAAATTATGCGCTTTGAATCCTTGTTTATATACATATAATTTACACATCCGTAACACGAACAGCAGAGATCGAAGATGACATATGTTCAATGGATTTTGATAAAGTGTTACGCCGTATGTATTTTATGAGGGAAAATTACGTGACATTTGTTGAAGAGAGTAAATGATAAGCCAGTATAAATACATAAGTTCATAAATAATAAATGCGAACATAATACTGGATAATGATTCGAAAAAAGTGACTTACCAAAAATGTACAAAATGCTACAAGTTACGCAGCGAGAATAATCACTGTATACAAACATTCAGTACCTGAGTATTTAGTGGAATATTCCCAACCGATTGAGGTCAAAATCCAGTCAGCATGAAGAGATTCCATTAACAATGATTCTCAGCTAAATAGTAAAAAAGAAGAATTAAAATATGCTTTAGTAAATTCAGAGTTCTTATTACTAACAGTCTACCACTATACGTCATAATCAACCTAATGTTATACCAAAAGTATTACCTGGACTGAGTCAAAAAATTATCTTTGGACAATGATGACTGGAAAAATTTGAATATGGCAACATCAGTCCAGGATACCTTATAGATTAATTATTATCAGCATTATCAAATGAGACACTTTGGACCGTTTTTCTCCGCATTTACTGTCACGAACAGCCAATTTCCACCCATAAACCTGAATTTTTCCCTGTTTCATAATTTTCAAAACATTCTGCTGTATGTAGAGTGTTTTAAAGCTAGATAATGACAGCCACAGTTGAATGGATGTGTTTTGTTTTGTCTGTGCTTCACCTGAAGAAACGGTTAACTTCATGTTCCCCATCCAGTAACATCTGATTTGTGACAAGCAGTTTATTAACATCCTCATAATAGGTGCCCTGATTACTGTAACGTAGATTGAGTCAGTATTGATAATGATGTGATTTCAACGTAGTCGTTATATTATGACCGTTTTGAAATGTCACATTTGATATATCATTTTAGTAGCGAACATAAATGTCATAATGTATACACAGATCAAATCCTTCAACGCATTGATAACTTGTTGTCTTTGCTTAAATAAGCACGGCAATACATATTTTGAACAACAAAAAGGTCGAATTTCTCATTGTAAACGAAAAAACTCACTAGATATTGAATTTTCGAATGTTTTCGGAATTTTACGGCATACACGGATCACCTGATGTTTAGAACACCAGAAATCAATATAAGTCTCTTACTCATCAGATGACTTAATATAAAACACACCTGTCGTTTAATTCCCTTATCTTCATTCTTTCACTCATCCGTACATATATATATATATATATATATATATATATATATATATATATAGTATGTACCAAATTTCATTGTGCTTCCTGAATTTTAACGATTTCGAAATCTCATCCCATCACTTACATCTATGATAGTTATCAATTACTCTTATTACCAAGTGTAAGTTTATTACATGTATGACTTGAGATCGACCCCAAGGTATACCGGAAAATGCAGACCCTACTCAATCAAATTCTGACATCAGGGAATGGAAATTCATCAAACAGTCCTTGAGGCTCAAACACATACTGACTCAGCATGTGACGAGACTAGCCAAGAAGGACGGTGATCTTAGACCCCGTCTAATGAAGATAACCTTCCCATCTTCCCACATGGCGGCTGCAGTTCTGGAAGCATTTCGTGCTAATAGACGTCGATTGCCACCTGGAATCCATATGCACCCGGATAGGCCATACGAAGTTAGGACCAAGAACAAAGACAAGTTGGAGCTGACCATTCCACTTGTGGACTGTCTAAACGATAAAAAAACGTGTAAAGGACAGGGCCTACCACCTCGGCAAACCTCACATAGGTGGGCTACCTGTCCATTCACATAAGGTTCATACAGAAAAACAGGACGAAGCTCACGCGTTCCAAATAGAAAGCATAAACTGCTTATATATGAACGCCGCGAGTCTACCAAACAAACTGGATGAACTACGTGAACTTAGCAACGCTAATAAGGCCCATCTGATAGGAATATCTGAAACCTGGATATCTTCTCAGTTCTCGGACCAAGAGTTAGCATTACCTGGGATGACTTTGTTCCGCAACGACAGAAAAACAGGAATTGGGGGCGGAGTAGCCATATACATAAGCTCTTGCTTGGAGGTGCACCAGATTCACAACCTCGAGTTTAACAATCTCGAGGAATCCATATGGTGCTCTGTAAGATTGTCAAGTACTTCCAGGTGTCTAGTCGGAGTCATTTACAGGAAGCCAACTGCCGACACCGAGTACGATAGTCGTATGCTGGAAAGACTATCCCGCTCTATCCGTCTCGGTTTCACACACATCCTGATTCTAGGGGACTTTAATCTCCCTAGAGTCAACTTCGCGGAACACACGTACACTGGAGGCGACAACTCAACTGAAGCTCGGTTCTTCAACCTCATTGATAACTTGGGCTTATATGAAAATGTGAGGTCGAAAACTCGTTGGAGAAACAGTCAGACACCATCGCGCTTAGACTGTGTATTCACTAACGAAGAATTCCTAGTCGACAACCTCTCAATCCTGGCTCCTCTGGGAAAGAGCGATCATGCCGTCATAGCCTTCAGTTTTGTCATCAAAACTAAGCTAAGGTATCCCAACAATAATTTGCGTTGGAATTTTAAACGGCTGAATGTGCCAGCTCTACATGACTATCTACAACAGGTGGTTTGGGATGTTCACCCTCAACTCGATGTGGATGGTCATTGGGACTTCTTACTGCACACGCTCTTATGTGCTACAGACCATTCAGTTCCTCAAACGGTTCCCAAAAGCTTCAAGCCACCTACAGTAATCAAGAACCGTACCCTTCGCCTCCTAAGCCGCAAACGGCACTGTTGGGCGGAATACAAACGAACTAATAACGATGGAGCGTATAGGCAATACAAACATATCAGGAACACATGCACGAAGGCTATAAGAGAAGACAGGCGTCAGTACCAAACAAAGCTTATGGACAAATTCGCCTCTAACCCTAGAAGCCTATTCCGTTATGCAGCCTCTCTTCGTCAAGCCAAAACAGGAGTTTCTCAACTGCTAGGTCTTAACGGCCCAACCAACAACGATGGCGACGCCGCTAACCTTCTGGCAGCCCATTACTCTCAAACATTTCAACCGGCTGACATCAACTTTATTGACGACAGTTTCATCTGCAATTCCACAGGACTTTCTAAAGTGGACCTAAGCGCTGACTTGGTGTTCCGGAAATTGCAGCACTTAAGACTTGACACTTCTCCTGGCCCGGATATGGTTCATCCTGCCATACTGAGGGAGGCAGCCTCAATCCTGGCAACGCCGCTTAGCGTGATGTTTTCACACTCACTTAGCCGAGGCAAATTACCGGAAAACTGGAAGTTGGCTCACATCACACCAATTTTCAAAGGTGGTCGACGCAATGAACCTTCATGTTATCGGCCGGTGGCTCTTCTGTCATTACCTTCAAAACTCATGGAGTCCCTGATATGCGACGGTTTAAATGATTATCTACTGTCCTTAAATTTCTTCTCATCCCAACAGCATGGTTTCAGGAAGGGTTACTCTTGTATAACCAACCTGCTGACTGCGGTGGACAAATGGACAAGCATCCTCGATTGCAAGGGAAAGGTTGACGTCATTTACCTTGATTTCTCAAAAGCTTTTGATAAGGTTAACCACTTGTGTCTTATCAACAAGCTCAAACGACTAGGTATCAAACCACCTCTAATCGATTGGCTTACTTCATACCTAAAAAATCGACACTTTAAGGTTAGGGTTAATTTCATTTTATCTCAGGCTATGGAATGTCCTAGTGGGGTTCCCCAGGGCTCAGTACTAGGGCCTCTTCTCTTCTTGATCTACATAAATGATCTTCCTCAACAGGTAACGTCAGACTTACTACTTTTTGCCGACGACGTGAAACTTTGGAAAGAGATACGCAACCAAGTCGATCTGACGCGACTTCAAAGTTGGGCAGACGATAACGGAGTTACCTTTAACACTTCAAAGTGTAAAGTAGTCCATCTGCGACATGTCGCAAATTACAGTTACAACTTAGGAAACTCCTCTCTAGTAGTATCCCAAGTCGAAAAGGATTTAGGAGTCCTGATGCCCCATGACTTAAAGTCTTACGCTAACTGTGACAAAAATGCCTTCCGAGCAAACCTTGCACTGGTAACGTTGAAGCGCATTTTTGGCCAGTTTGACGGAAGAACTTTCCATACAATCTTCAATAGTTTCATCCGTCCCCATTTAGAGTACGGAAACATAGTACTCCCCCCCTCACTCCAAAAGGACAAGGTCACTTTGGAGCGTATCCAACGGCGAGCCACGAAATCAGTTCGAGGACTCAAATCTAAGCCTTACGAAGAACGCCTCTGTTCACTAGACCTTTACCCACTAGAATATAGTCGTCTTAGAGGTGATTTACTAATGGCTTATAGCATTCTTAACACTTCTGGACATCCTCTTAAACACCTACTTAAGCTTAGTTCGAACAATAACCTAAGGGGTAACACCCAGAAACTGGAAACACAGTATAGCAAGACGGAATGTAGACACAACTTCTACTCCTTAAGAGTTGTCAAAAGCTGGAATTCGCTGCCGGCCGAGCTAGTCCAAGCGACTTCTCAGGAGTCCTTCAAGAGGCAACTTGACCTATTCTTAAGGACCAAGGACAGCATCACATTATGATTTACCAATTTCTTTTCCTTTTTTATTGTTAACATACCTAGGTTCCTGCCTGGAGGATTTGGTGATCCCCTGCTACTAGACACGGAAGCCTGTTAAGCGAAAGCTTCTTCTATTCCGTCCACAACCATTTGAACCATTTGAACTTTAAACACACAATATCCGCGGTGAACACGATCGTTCAAGGTCGTCGGTTCAAAGGAGGTAATATTGAACCCATCTCGAGCACCTCGTGCTATAGTCGCGGTAAATTAGAAGTTTTTAACAAAGTTTTTGGTTTAGAACTATTTGAGTGTCATTTGCTTGTTCACAGCTTTGATTTTGTGGTTGACTTATATGACTTGCTTTGAGGTTTGTTATTTGATACTACAATGGTGGTAAAATAGATACTAATGTGATAGGAAGGTAAAAGTTAGTTCCAAATAAATGGGTTCAGAACATTTATAAGTTCAAGTTTACCACAAGTTTATCACTGTGATCCGTTGTTTTACGTAATATCTTGTTGGTATTGGATTCTGTACATGTTTATTGTGGAACGTGTTTGCTGTTTAATGTTAACGTTTAGTGCTAATCTTTCTAAAGGGCTAGCTGTTCCTAGCCCTTGAAATACTGAAGTGCATCGGAGTATTTACTAAAGCATTTGAACGATGTCCTGAGCTACCAATTTCGGGGAAATTTTGGGGAAGACGCTATAGTAAACTTTGGGGAAATGGCACAAAAACCTCAAAATTCCCCTTTAAACTTAGTCAAGGTCATCCGAGTTTGGGGATTTACCCAAAATTCCCCAAGATTCACCCAAACCTGGGAGCTCGGGGTGGTATATAAAAATGACATCAAAACTTTGACAGCAAATGTAATTCAGGATGTTCTCACTCTTAGGTCACGACTAAAATTATATTAAAGTCATTTTATCCTAGCTGTTGCAATGGTGGTTTTCAATGCTCTAATCATTGTAAATTATTTCATTCAACGTGATTATCTTCCAACCATGTATTTTCGACAATTATGTGGAGACGAATGTCCCAGATTTGATGAATAATAAACGTTTTGGAATATTTAAAATCGCTAAACAGAGTCTCGTTCAATAGAATGTGTCTTATAATACACGGTGGTTGAATGTTTATTTATTTATTTAAAAAAATATTGGCACAAGTAAGCACCAATAGATATTCGCCACATAGATCACTCGAGTTTTGTGTAGGCTGGGATGCTGTCCTGGTGCCCGAATCGAAACAGGTAGTTTTCTTAGGAGGCCACACCCGAAGCCTTTGACCCAAAGGTCTAATCCACAAGGCAGTGGAGCAATATAAAGAGATTCAGTCCCATGGTAGCCGGTGTCCAATAACTTGTCCATACGCCATTTGTTTCCTCAGGGTCCTGTAGTTCATGTGCACGATTGGTTTGGAATCAGGGTTTTTTACAACTCCCTCAAGTGAATTGATGTTCATAGATGGATTTTCGGTGGATACATTTTTACGAGATCGATCTATTGACAAAAACCACTTTTCAAATTGGTTTCAATAGGCAACACAGTCGATTACTTACTTACTTACTTACTTACGCCTGTTACTCCTCGTGAAGGAGCATAGGCCGCTCACCAGCATTCTCCATCCAACCCTGTCCTGGGCAATCCTTTCTAGCTCCGTCCAGTTGTAATTCATCGTTTTCATATCTGCTTCTATTATCCGACGCAATGTGTTCTTTGGCCTTCCTCTTTTTCGCTTCCCTTCTGGATTCCAAGTTAGGGCTTGCCTCGTGATGCAGTTTGACGATTTGCGTAATGTATCTCCTATCCATTTCCATCGTCTTTTCCTAATTTCTTCTTCAGCTGGAAGTTGGTTTGTTCTCTCCCACAGAAGGCTATTGCTGATGGTATCCGGCCAATGGATGTTGAGTATCTTGCGTAGACAGTTATTTATAAATACTTGTACTTTCTTGATTGTGGTTGTTGTAGTTCTCCAAGTTTCAGCTCCATACAGTAGAACTGCCTTGACGTTCGTATTGAAGATTCTCACTTTGATATTGGTTGAAAGTTGTTTTGAGTTCCATATGTTCTTCAATTGTAGGAATGCGACCCTTGCTTTGCCAATCCTCGCCTTTACGTCTGCATCTGAACCTCCTTGTTCATCGATCATGCTTCCCAGGTATGTGAAGGATTCTACATCTTCCAGAGTTTCGCCATCAAGAGTGATTGCATTGTTGTTCTCTGTGTTGAATTTGAGGACCTTGGTTTTCTCCTAGTGTATGTGTATACTGAGGCCTACTGATGCAGAGACTGCTGCTACACTGGCTGTCTTCATCTGCATCTGTTCGTGTGTACGTGATAGGAGGGCTAGGTCATCTGCGAAGTCCAAATCGTCTAATTGATTCTGAGCTGTCCATTGTATTCCGTGTTTTCCTTCAGATGTTGAGGTCTTCATAATCCAGTCGACCACCAGGAGAAAGAGGAAGGGAGAGAGTAAACAGCCTTGTCTGACTCCGGTCCTTACTTGGAATGCATCTGTCAGCTGTCCTCCATGCACTACTGTGCACTGTAGTCCGTCGTATGAGTTCCGGATAATATTGACAATCTTCTCAGTAGATCTTGTAAGGCTTGGAACCTGTTGTTGAGAGCTATCTTGAATTCATTGAGTTTGTCAGTATCTCGAAGGAAGTCTGTATTGAACCTTTGTAGTGCTGTTTGTCCAGGTCTTCTTTATCTTCAGTTTCAAATTGGCTACAATTAGGTGGTGATCTGAAGCTACGTCAGCACCTCTCCTGGTTCTCACATCTTCCATTGTCCTTCGGAATTTTTTGTTGATGCAAATATGATCTATTTGGTTCTCTGTAGTGTGGTCCGGTGAGATCCATGTAGCCTTGTGTATACGCTTTTGTGGAAATATTGTGCCTCCTATGACCAATTTGTTGAATGCACATAGATTTGCAAATCTTTCTCCATTTTCGTTTCTTTCTCCCAGTCCATGTCGTCCCATAATATCTTCGTATCCAGTGTTGTCTATTCCGACTTTGGCATTTAGATCTCCCATCAGAATAGTTAGGTCCTTTCTTGGGCATTTCTCAATGATTGACTGCAGCCGCTCGTAGAACTGATCTTTAATTTCGTCGTTGCTATCATTGGTGGGTGCATAACATTGGATAATATTCATTAAGATCCCCTCCTTCTTTGTTTTGAATGATGCTTTGATGATTCTGGATCCGTGAGATTCCCATCCTACAAGTGCATTTCGTGCTACTTTGGACAGCATAAGAGCGACTCCCTGAGTGTGTGGAGCATTGTCCTCTTCGTGACCGGAGTATAGCAGCATCTCTCCCGTAGCTAGCCTTTTCTGTCCAGCTTGGGTCCAGTGGGTTTCGCTGATTCCCAGTACTGCTAAGTTGTATCTCCTCATTTCCATTGATATTTGACTGGTCTTCCCGGTTTCCCACATTGTTCGAACGTTCCATGTACCTATAAAAATTTTTGCTCTGGTTGTTAGAAGGAGCATCGGCCTCGTGGCTTCCGAAGGAACTCGGCTTTCACCATGAAGCGTCATAATTCTTCTAAACGAAGACCTTCTAACTCCCAGGGCTGAGTTAAAATGGTTTGGATTATTTTTTCTGTTAAGCGTTTTTTTAGCGAGTTAGTTTTCTACGGGATGGGGACGCTAACCCCATGCCCAACCCTCCTCCTTTACCCGGGCTTGGGACCGGTAGTAACCCTATAAGAGCTACAGGCGGAGTTAACACAGTCGATCCGTGGAATTAAATTATTCTACTCTAAAGTCGCATGCTTCAATGCAAAGTATTACAGAGGAAAGCAAACATGGATATCATTCAGAAAATAACGATTCGGATGATGCAAATATTGGAAGTCACACTGTCTTCAATAGAATTGAGACCTGGCTGTCAGACTAAATCTTTACTTCGTCATTTCAGTAACAGCCAATTCATCAAACTCACTTCCAAGTTCAACCTTGTCAATATCGTCACAAAAATCCACCCAAAATACCATGATCTTTCCCTTGCCTACTAGGAGCGTTAACCCTTCAAAAGTATTATGAAAGTCATTTCGATTGTTAACTTACGATTCGGCTTTTCATTTAGCGATTAATAAAGGTGTTAATAAGGTGAAAAGTATTGCACATGTACTGTTACGTCGATTGAAAACTGTTACATCACCAGAATTAGCAACCCTGTTTAGCCCTATTCCTTATCCAAAATGGTCGGGAATGTTAATTGCAATATTCATACCGCTTTATATTTCTGGTCACCAGTAGTAATAACCTCATTTAGGTCACTTTTTGCGACATTTCTGTACTTAGTTTATATGTGCCAATTCATGTCTATTATCGCAATTTTTCTTCTCGAACAGGTAATGGGGCTGTGCGATGCGTTAAGAGGAAATGTGATTTACGAGACGATAAGAGTAAGATGATTTTACATAGGATTTTGTAAATGTATTGTTTTTCATTTATTACAGAATATTACGTTTATTAGTTTTTTTGTGAACCGTTAGTTTATCATTTATTCGCAGTCCCACAAAACCAAGCAGCTTCAGTTCTTTTTACAAGTTAATGCTGATCAGCATCTATTTTATTGTATGAATGTATAAAAACTGAATTTCCTTTGCTAAAAAATGTATTGCCCATAAATAAACTCTTTGTTCATTAGATAATAAAGTGCTTAATCATATAATCTCTATGATTTCAGTGTTTTTTTTCATGTAAAATGACTAAAATGCTTACGTTTCACCTTAAAGCCAAAAATCACTTGACGGTTGTAAGATATAGTATAGTTCAAATACTAATGTATTAAGAAACCATTTTTTCTGAAATGCGCTCATTCATAAAAAAGTTAATGGAAGATCTCAAATTATATTAGAAATACGCAATAATAAATAGCCATAACCCTTAATGTCACAGAATGCACCTAAGTATATTTGCTGTTCAGCTAATCGCGATTTTTACTGGAAGTGCTAAAATCCCACATGTATCAAATACACACCTTCCATGACATTCATTTTTTCTGTGGTTTAGCTTAAATTTCTTTAAATCAGATGATTATACCAGGATAAAACGTACAAATACTTCGATTCATGTTCCTTTTGTTATAAGTTGTATTTGGGCACAGCACATCTCCAACCGTCATTGTATCCTATTTAAAATCGAGGTACATAAAATAAAAACAACACTACTTTATATTGTTCTCCAGGTCATACTCAATAATTTCACGACTCAAACTTACGACCCAAATACCATAATACGAAGCCTTGTTTTTTGATGACTACTTTGGGGATTTTACTTCCTGACTTCCATCCTAACTAGCATCCATAGGTTTTGCAGTGGTAAGCTGATCTGCTCTTTTCGTCATCAGATACATTTCCCCTACCTTTCACTTCTAATTTCACTACTAATTCTCATTGTAAATCAAAAGATAAGTAAATTTATATATTAATATACTAAAAGTCATGGCAAGGATTGGCAAAGCAAGGACAGCATTCTTACATTTAAAGAACATGTAAAACTCAAAACAACTGTCAGTCACTATCAAAGTCAGAATTTCCAATACAAACGTCCAGACAGTTGTATTCTACGGAGCTGAAACGCGGAGTACTACTATAACCATAATAACAATAAAGGTATTTATAAACGGTTGTTTAGGCTAGATACTCCATATCCGTTGGTCGGATACCATCAGCAACAACTTACTATGGCAGAGAACAAACCAGCTTCCATTTGAACTCAAAATTAGGAAAAGACGATGGAGGTGGATAAGATGTACATTGCTGAAATCATCAGACTGCATCACAAGGCAAGCACTTGGAATCCTGAAGGGAAAGGCAAAGAAGAAGACCAAGGAACACATTGATTCAGGGCTTGGAAGCAGACATGAAAAGAATGAATAGCAACTGTAAAGGATTACCAAGGACAGAGTTCGATGGAGAATCGTGGTTGGCAGCCTATGCTCCTCTAAGAGGGGTAACAGGTGTAACGTCAACTTCACCAGCCATAGTTAGACATTATAAACTGCATATTATCCACTTACCTAAATGAACTTTATCAAAAGTTACTTATTCACACAATATTGCTGTTTTTATCTTTTGATAGTCTAATTGTATTAAGGTTCATCAAATTGATTTGCAACAAACAGTCATTATTTCTTCAATAATACTAGATTGTTTATTTTTAAAATGCTTTTCTTAACTCATAAATGTTAATCATATTACTCCAATATAATTGAATCAACAGACCGATACACTTCTAATAATCGTATGTTTTATGTTTTATTGTACTTAGCCTTATGTTATGTTATGCTTGCCAAATGATTCATTGGCTTCAGAGTCGTATTTTTCTGAATTGAAGTGTGCATCTGCCTACTTGGATTGTACCTATTTTATTCTACGTGTGATCAATACTGAGTTGTTACAGATAAAGCAATCGGCTAAAATGAAGGTTAGTTTGTAAGTTAATCCATGGAATTCATGAATTAGTCTTTTTAATTAACGTTCTCGTATGGGGTTTAAGACCAACGTACCCTATACCAGTTACACACTTCCCCGCTGAGACTTAGTTACACTGAGTTTTGCTTGATGGTTCTGCTTCGGGTTTTAAGTATAATCATATCATTTCGTACATCAGTGACTGTACTTGGTAAATAATGCTTCTAAGGTAATGTGACAAGTTTTGAACAGTGTCGATTGTCGTTCAGTGATTGATTTGTAATGTGACGTCGAGTCGCGGTTGACTATGATCACCACCACAGGAAGACTACGTGCCAGTTAACCGATAAGACCCCCCGTAGGCCAAGTACCAAAAAGCAGTTGATGGCTGTAGTCGAGATATATTTGTTGCCGATCTCGTGGTATTGAAAGAATACCGAGATCGTCCCAGGTTACAAATGTGGTCACTGAGCGTAACCGAATTCATGCAAGGTCACAAGCAACGGAAAATTGTATGTATTTTGGGTACAGTTAAACAAACAAGTACGGTAAAACAATCCCTGGTGCAATTGGTTATAATAATAACTGTTTCAATTATACCAATCGCGTTCTCTTGATAAAAGTAGATCACTACAGATTCATCTTACAATGTCAATGACTTAGGAATTTCGACTTACGCTATCCCAGTGCTCTTATACGACTAGTTTCGTGAGATACATAATCATCATGCTTCATTATCTGCTTGTAAATCACAACTGTGGTTAAGTGCTGTACAACTTAGTAGTTTACGACACCACCAGTTTCCTCAAGATTACAGGTATATCTTGCCGATAAGTGTCAAATAAAACAAAACACAGATCTAGGGCTTCCCACCCACTATATCCAATCCCCTAGTATCTTAACATGTTGCACACGATAGCTAATTACTTAAACTAGTGACCACATTATAACTTGATTTATGGAATTTAATCAGCACCGAAGGACCAGACAAATATGACATTGTTTACTACCCAGTAATCAATCAAATGAAGTTTACAACACCATCAGTAATGATTGAACGATCAGGATTAATGGCTATTCCACTGTATGTTTGTCTTACTTTCCCCACGAACAGGATACCAAGCTTATAAAGTCATCCGTGATTGTGTTTAATATAAATATTACTTATAGTGTTATTATTACTATTATTGTTATACTATTTATATCACTATTCCACTCATCTCATTTCACGTTGGCACATTTTTTGTGTGCAAAAATCTTAATGCCTTTTTATTTTACATATTAAATAGTAAATAATAACCGTGATTTAAAATTAATATATGTTTTTCTCATCTCATTTTATTGAAACAAGTCCGACAATTTTTATAGAAATGTATTATCTATATTTGATTTACTGCTTAAACCTGAGAAAAAACCATCAGAATTTCTGGGCGAACCACCAAAACGTAAGTAGTTTTGTTTTCGGTCCAAAAAAGTATTGTTGATATTCGAGTAAATGATTCTCTGCTGTGATTTTCATCAAATTAAATTCACCTTTTACCGGTGCCAATCAGTACCATACTAAATCGTATGTACATCAAAATATCGGTCATTTACTTATAAGAAGTGTTTAAACCAATTCTTATAGTTGCACTGATTTTACAAATGAGTAGCTAAATGTATACAATTGTGAACCTATTAGATATATCTGTCATACAGCTAGTATAAATCGCCCGAAGTAAATTAGTTTCAACCTTTTATTATAATCACACTGATTTGCTTTTTATCATCATTTGGTTTATTCCTTGATGATATAACAAATATTCCATCAGGTATTATCATTTAAAACAATTCAAAGTCAGTTAATTGATAATATTAGTTTAATTCTTTGTAAAAAAAATAATGATATATATTTACTGTTATTGTAGCAAAAAGTGATTTATTTCGGCATTCAAAACATTCCCATCTACGTCATTATTTCACTCAAGTATGGATATCGTTTCTAAACAACGAAGTTAGTTTTACTATGTTTATTTATACATTATAATTATTTCTGATAATAAAGTTGTAAATGATCATTAATTTACAAAAAATGCATAGTGAAATCGGCAGATGTATAGTTGGTTTGTCTGTATAATTAACGTACAAACAACTGATCATTTTAACTTTTTCCGTCCACTACTGAATTAGAGACAATATAATAACGAAAAGCTTCAAACAATAAATGTGACTTACACCTTCATCAAACTTTGTAAGTGAATGCTGAGATACTTCAGTATGTTGTTATTAATTACTATAATAAATTCTATAAACAAACTAGATATTGGATATACACGCAATTTCCCTAATAAATTTTAGTTCGTAAAATATGTACAGCATTAAATACCTTTTGTGTCATGACATTATTTTCGCATTTATCTACTTGAATTTAAGAAACATTATGGTTTGACATTCCTCAACTTCAGTCAGTCAGTCAGTTACAATGTATGACCAGGCACATATGTGCATCGGTCCAAGTTGCCATACCTCATTAGCACAACAAGATGGACATTAAATTCATAGAGGTAGTTACTTCAATGGTGGTCATATATAAGAAAAAGATAACATATAAGGATACAGTACAAAAAGAAAGAATTAGTTGGTACAAATAAAGATATAAAGCAATGTAAATCTCATAGATTAAGGGAAGATAGAGAGTGCATACACCTACGCCATTGTGATCGATTCTGAGCCATGTCACCAAGAATCTCCAACCATTGGTTACGATAGTCACGCGGACCTCAACCAAGTAGTCTGCAATTACCAACATGGCTCAGACTAGAAGTTAGTGACTTCAAGCACTAATGCCACGTTTTGGTTTGGCCGCCCCCAACTTTCTTCCTCGACTTCCCACTTTATCAACACATTTAAACATAGTGAATCTGTAATATCATTTTAACTGTCTTACCGAGTACAGATTTGTGTAATTGACTTTTAACTGCACTCTTTGCTAGAGCTAGAAATATGTTACGCTCTTAATAGGGTAGAGAATAAGCGTTAACTACGAATTTCACAAGCCTATTATGATCTAATTGTTTAGAGTAACATTATTTTAACCCACTAAATAAACAAAGAAAAACTGGTCTCACATACGAGAACCCTTACTATCCATGTAAGAAAAGAGAATGTTATTGTTAAACTTCGGGAATCAAGAAAAAATAACGTCATTGCGAAATGCCAACCAGTAGAGCTAACACATGTTGGATATGAGGTGGCTATCCACCGAAGATAATGGGAAATGGTCGTGCAATGTCACTGATTGGCTGATGTTAGACATTAACACTGTTGGACGCCAATTCAGTAGTTTGGAGATTAAGTTTTCGAGCGCCACCAAATGTCCTAGGTCCGAGTCCTACGTGTGGAATCGTGGATGCGTACTGTTAGGGAGTCCTATACTAGAACGAAACGACCGTCCAGTGTATTGTGACGGGTGGTGTCTCAAATCCGATACAATGTACTACTCGCTAACCCTCCCCCCAACTGACTAATTGAACGAGAACACAAGATTAAGCAAGAAAGTATATTGGGCTACTGAATATAATGCACAAATACTCATTTAGCTATACACAACTCTACCCCCTAGGAAATCAATCTATTTCTTAGCCAATGAAATTCACTTCTCGAAGTCATTTCTGATCGCTGTCGATTGACCTGATTAGGCTACTTCTGATTGACGCACCATATCACACTGCTTCCAGGTTTTCTGTAGTGTAACTTAGATCGTCTTATGATTTCAACAATATTAGATATTTGTTCTCCGTTGTTGATAAACTCGGTATGGTGAAATGGCATTGGTTGAACTTCCACAACCAATCAAATCAAATTCATTTCGAGGATGTATTTTCAACTATTTTGTTAGTTATTTAAATGTAGAAAATCCTAATTGTGTGGTTGCTGAACTCCTTTGTTATCTGAATCTATTTCTTAATGAAATTGGTAACTTTTATTTCTATACTCAATAGGACTAACAGTTAAGCAGAATTAATGATGAAGTAAGAATAAATATTTGAAACAAAATTCTAGAGTTTTTTTCCATCAGAATTATCCATTACAATTCCTGTCTAATTTTTTGCCTAACAAACCGATCATATTCTTTCTGCATCCTATCGCCTCATTAGATAGGCAGGTGATACTCCCCTCTTTACATTGACACTTGTGTGATAATTATTGTTTGCTACTTTATTAAATGAGGTTGTTTATCTATGTACTTGAATTCCTTAAAAATAGTTTGAATTCAGTAAAGCCCCAACGTCTAGATATTCTTGTGTGATGCAGTTAATATATGACATTCTAGATTAGTTAATAAAAGTTACTGTGATAATTTCGTATTTTTCTACAATGCTCAACAGTTGATATTCAAATAACTGTAAACTGTATGTTAGCAAGCGTAAATGTCCTTAATTATATCATAAACTATCCTGTTAATCTAATGAATCATCATTGTTACAGTATTTAATTAATGTTACTGTTTGAATAATAATAATAATTTATGGTTCAAATTACATTTGTATCAGATACTTAGTACTGTTTTATTTTCACTCTTCATAGTGAATTTGTAATTGTATTGCTTAAGTCATTTGTATGACAAGTGATAATTTGTATATTATTCAGGCTTAATCTAATTAATTGATTATTAATTCTATCCTGTGGTGTTTATTCTTCTATATATATGTAGATAGCAGTGATCACAAAAGGGGTACAAAATCGTAATTCACATGTTAAAAATCATGCAGGAAGCATTAACGCTTATTAGACTTCAAGCTACTTGCATGAATTTATACAATCCTTGTGATTTTTACACATCGATTCATAGTATTCATCACTTTCATTATTCTTTTTTATTCGCTCACCTAGTTATCAGATGACGTACGTCTAGAATCTGTACGGTATTTGGGTAATGGGGGCATGAATCGCTTAGCCGAAATTCGCTTATTAGCTGATCACATTATACCAATTTTTGATCCCGATCCGGAGAATAAATTGTCTCAAACAGAATTGACAAAATTTCCAACTAGTTGGTCTCGTTCAGTTTGTCATGCAGTACTCGGTTTAATTCAAAAAGGTGATTTCAATTATCCACGTTTGTACATTCGACTGTATCGTTTATTGGATGAAACTTTGTTTGAATGTCCAGATGTTGAACCTTTTCTGATTGATTTAGATGTTTATTTAAGCTCCATGTAAGTGTTCATTCTAGTAATCCCTTAATATGAAACAGTTTTAATTCGACTAAAGTACTACGTTTTTTAACTTCCGAATTATAACTTGTGATTACGTAATAAGTATGTACAGTCTTGATAGAACCTTTTCAGACCAGTCGAGATTTCTGAATCTGTGCTGGGATTTCATTTATATACCAACCCATAAGAATCAGCAAAAATTTCAAGTAAAGTGGTGTTTTTGTTCAAGTTTTATAGTATTTAGCCTGCAAGCTTTGTATAATAGTCCCTGAGTATCTCATGAAGTTAAGATGTATAATTACTTCGCCAAGATAAATATCAAATAATAATAACACTGCTGAACTCCCAAAATAGGTGATCCATAAACTTTAACAGACCATAAGATTATTATTAATAGTATGATTAATCTTTGCTAATGGAAACATTCAAAAATGAACTCAAGCCATCCACGTTAAAATAGTGAATACTAATTCACACTAGTTGTTTATCATTTCATAATTATTCATAGTATAATACATCAAACACAATAAAAGTTTACTTTATTTCAATAATTGAGATCATGAGTCAATCGAAGCTAGACCACCATGAAAAACCTGGAAGCACTGGACGTCCATTTCTTCCTATTGTGGAACCCCTCAGCAGTGCGCACCTCGCGAGATACGAACCCAGGATCTATCGGTCTCGCGCGCGAACGCTTAACCTCTAGACCACTGAGCCGACATCTAATGGTGTTAATGTCTAACTTCAAACAATCCAATATGGAATTTTCTATTTTCGACAGGTGAATTTAAAAATCACACTAGAGTTATTCTCAACTGTATCATGTCAATTAATTGTATCGTACCCAGGAATTCCGGTCAAATTTTCCGTGCATTTAGTTGCCTTTTATTATACATTAAAGAGTAGATTTTAATTAAAGAATGACGTAGAAGCTTTAACGTTTCCGGTTGAGATATAACTAGACATATCCATTGCAGATTTTAATTATACTGACTTTTGTCCAGTGCTTACAGGTTTTCCATCATGATCTAGCTTCAATTGACTCATGATCTCCACTATTGAGTTTACTTTATTGTTGAAAATAATGTAAAAATGTCATGTTCCAACAGTTATCATTCTATTTTTTGTACGTAATCAATTTATTGTTTTTGTTTCTTTCTTTAAATGATAAATAGTTACCCGACTTTTTCTTTATTTTATACTTATATTTTATGAAGTTTCTTCTGTTAAGATTATTCTAACTTTTATTATTCTTTATAACATATATGTGTTGTCTATTTGTTAGTTATCAGTGTTTCTATTTTTTGATAATTCTGAAAACTTCATTTGTTGTTTCCTGGAATTCTCTATTATTGTTTCTGATTATGTTGTTGTTCTTGTTTTTTTTTTCTCCAGACATTTAGCTACCGCAGTTGTTGCATCATTCATAAAACGACTTTCTCAATTATCTTTATTTAGTCCAATTTCAATTACACCTGCAATACTTTTAATCATCTTCAATGGTTTACAAAATCATCCTCATTGTCGTGTTTTAATTAACTGTAAACAGAAAAAATCACAAAAATTAAATAATATTCAATCGGATGATAATAGTTTACCAAATGTATTCAATGTAAGCTTTCTATTTTCTTTTTCTACAACTGTCCTGTTTATGAAAATGAAGATTTTGCCAATACATAATAGGGATATATATTCATTTGTTGTTTTGTAAAACAAGAATAATACCTACTATGAGATGATGTTATAAATTCATTACATTCTACAATATTTTTTGTGTTTTTTTATCGTTAAACAAAATTTGTCAAATACAAGTAATTGCATATGGTGTCCTATTTTTTTTTCTCTAGGCACAATCAATTGGTGATCCTTATAATTGGGAAGCAGATAATTTTGATTCATCTAGGGCATTAGAAAGTAGTCTATGGGAAGTTTATGCATTAATTGGTCATTGTTCACCAGATATCTCATCATTAGCTTATAAAATTTGTAATCCTGATCCAACGGATACTTTTAATTCCTCTGTGGCTGACATACTTGATAAACAAAAAAAGGTGAGTTGTAATTCCTTTTCTAATATTTTAACAATGGTCAATCATTTCTATGTAGTCTAAATACTCCAACCTGACTGCTTTATTAACATTTATCGAATTCTGTTTCACTGAAATACAAGGTGTGGTCGTTCAAATTAGTAATTGACTTTTGGTACATTTGTATGTGAATGAGCGTTCAAAATGTTGTTTTTCCTAACATGATGAAATAGATTTTCAGTTGAAGCAATTGCTTGTATTGTCTGAGTTAGATGGTTCAATCGTGATGTGTCCATTGTAGTTCTGTATGAAATCATCAACTCCTACTTCATGTAGAATGAGCAGTTGTAATCAAGATGGAAATACGGAATATCGGATTCCGGCTCAGTGGTATGTTTATGTAACATCCCACGAAATTTAAAGCGCCGTCGTTCGATTTGGAATAAGATTATAAGTGAGCAATATTTAACTGGTCCTTGTTTTTAGTAGTTATCCAATTGGTTCGAATGTGTGATGAAAAACTATCTTCATGTTGACCTAATCTCCCTGAACCTTTCAACCATAAAAATGGAAAATGTTGAAGTGTAATGCAATCAGTTATGGACGACTCAGAAACCTTGACATCAAAGTGAATAATCTAAATTGTCAGTTGGTTCTTAATAATCTCTCTAAACCGGCTTGTAAAAATAGTAGCATTAATTAGAGCACCCAAGTAGCGAGCAACCTTTTTCAATATTTACAGAAGTATGAAAAACGGGTGTATCTACAGTTTTTAATTTGTCTTTAATTATGGAATTCCCGTTGTCCAAATTTCGATTTTAGCTGTCTGTGTATCCGATGTAAGAAGCCTGTACACATTCATATGTTAGATTATGAACATCTATAACATTTAATATCTCTATTATTAGACTTTTTTGTCATACTATTCTAACTGTTATCACAAAGTAGAGGAAACGATGACCTTGTGGTGGTCGGTATTCGATATATCCCTTAAACTTCGTATACAGTTCGTCTTGATAACCGTCCTATTTAACCCCAACGGTATATTATTCAGAAGGCGAATACGAAGCGTTGATTACGTTTATTTCGAGACCACACACACAGATGTCCAAAATTACAGATGCATTAAACGAGCATTAAGAGTTGTGTCGAACGGCAAACAGGCAAGCGAGCGACTGAGTGGATGTAAGTAATCGAGTACAATCAAGCGAGCCATATGAATAACATGGACATATATATAGCATGTGAAATTAATGAGTAATCGAATCAAATAAGCGGTTAGAGTAGTGAGACTAGCAGAGTGAACAAATGCGTAGGCCGTAAGCAATATTCAAGCATGCGTATTTCATACAAGCACAAAATAATAATAAGGGTACAATACATTGTTATAGTGCGGATGGCTTTGTCCGCTAAATAAGTTAGCAAAAGGGCTTAACTGAGTTAAATGAGAATAAACCCATTTGCACGTGAGTCGCTATAACCTACACGTTAGATATTTTATAGTTTCCTCAATAAGTGCAATTTCAATATATTACTAACATTGACGTCATTTACTAAATTGTTTCATTCTACTGGAGAAGTGTTTAGCAATCAGCGTTATCAAACACACATTATACTTCTATTTCATCCTATAACAGCTGTTTAGTACAGCAGATATAGATGTTATATGTGTCTACATTGTTCATTATCGGATTCTGGATAACTCATCGAAAAATATAGAAAATATGGAAATTCATGCTGAATCGTCTCTTGTTATTACCAATGATTTTCAGTAATTTATATCAAAACACTTTAAACAACTATTATGTTATCCCATTCTGTCGAAAGATCCCGCTTTAAGTGGTTATTTGCCATCAGGGAATTCAGTGGCATTATAAAATCAGAGAATCATAATAAATGTTATCATGTTTAGTGAATGTCTTTCACAAAACTTTTTTCGAATGGAAAACTTTAGGAAAGACTGCATGTTTGTGACTCCTAGCGAAATATATATTTTAAACAGACTTCCTGGTCAGTTTCAGGGTTAAAATGAAGACGCTTATCGTCTAAACTGGGTTGCAGCCTTTCCTGGTGTAGTTGAAAACCTTTGATCTCCATCACTAGAGTCGCTTTGTTCAAATAAGCGACTTCCAACTCTGAAAGCGAAACCCTGTTCAGAAAAAGCCCTACATGATGTATTGTCTTATCGCTCTTTACATCACCTACTATTTGTTTTAAAGTGTTGGCGCTATCACATAACATAACTCGGAAAAGTTTATAGAGGATCGATTGGCAAGAAGCAGACTAGATTTCATTCTAGTCATAAATGCTGTAAATATACGTTCATTCACTGTCGCATATATCTTTGAGCAACGGTCATTATCACTTGACATCAAAAACATCTGTTGTTGAAGTACCCTTAAACAATGCACTGATATTTTATTAATTGCTTAAAAATGTATTCAGTATTGGATGACATGCATGCTGTACAGGTCATATGTGCACGAATAATGATGATCAGAAGATAGTTATGCTAATATAGAACACATCGTTATCCAGAAAATATGTCCCTTAAAACAAGCCTATGATGTCTGCGATTCTACCTTACCCGATTACGACTTAGACGTAATCTGCATATGTTGCCTCGATGGCTTCCATATCGCACGTTTTACACACACTAGAACTGAGTGGAAAATGGGTAGGGATTGTCAGTTTATGATTTCGACTTATGACATAAGGGTTAGTTGCACTGAATTCACCTTCATTGTTTTACAGCAGCTGCCTGAATTTAATCTCATATATCACACGAATGTATGGTCTGAAACTTTTTCATGTACTACCTAGACTACAAACTAGTAATCACCCCGTCATAATTTTTGATTATATTGTTTGGAAACCGTCCAGGGCATCTAACTAATCAAATATATTTAATATGCAGAGTTGGATGGTGGCTGGCAGTGAAATCTAGAACGCTCGTTCCCTCGCATATGGAACTTGTCAGCTGGACCCACTTACATCCCAGCAAGGAAATTGGTATAGTATGCACGTACGCCGAAAAAGGCTGACCGATTGCAGTCCAAAACATCAACGAGAACATTCAAACAACCAACATAAATGAATTAAATATATTTTACTTATGTTATCACCGTAACTGTATCTTATAATAATCCATAATATTCGTCCTCAATAACTTTTTTACTTGTATCCTTAGGATATTGTTACATTTTGTGTTTTGCTTCCGGGTAACTTACTGTACCTGACTTTTCTAAGTTAAACAATACGGTTATACGTTTTGGTTGAATAAAAGAACATTAATTCAAAATAACTTGGCTCTAGCCCCAGCCGTAATTTGTCATTTCTTTCTTCCAGAATATTAAAGAAGCAACTCGTTCTGTGAAGGAAGCATTGTACCTGTTATCTCAAACTAATATTACGATGCCAGAGTTACCTCCGCTTGATGGTTGGGCGTAATTGGTTTTCCTTTTTGGTGCAGAAACGTTTAAGTTTTTATACAACTTACTATCTGTGCAAGAAACATTTTTAAGTATAAATATCTGATTCTTTTGTATAATACTGAACGTTTATTCTGTTCATATTTTCACCTTTCTACTGTTATATCCAGTAGCTTAATTTCGTGTAAATGATGTATGCATCCTATGAGTTGTATTTACATGATAAGATAATTATTAAAATGTTTTTGTATTTATTTACTTTTATACTGTTCTTAGTTTTTGTTGCGATAAATTTTCGTACAGTACAAATATTTCACTGAAAAAATTTTTTTACTAGACAAACTGCGTTTTGATGAATGCATTCACGATTAATATATTTAACCATGGTCTTTTGCAAATGTTATTCAGTGAAAGTGTCATTAATTGGCATTAACTTGACAATTTTTGACCTTTCACTCTAATTGGTTGAGCTATTAAGTCAACTATCAACTTGCTCTTAGTTAAACCGTTTTCTGTAAAATGGTAATGAAAAATAATGGTCAAGTTTATCCATCATATGAGCTATGTATGCACAGTGCTAGAAAGTAAATAGCCAGGATATGGAAAAGAAAAAATCAGGTTTCTCAGTGTTACGGGCTATTAATATCGATCAACCTAAAAACCTGTGTCACAGTGATCCGACATACTATCATATTAACGCACCAAAAACCTTACACTTTCTCAGTGTTCATCATACCATATTTTAGTCTGAGGATATCTGTTTTGTATACTTTAGCTTGTTACATTATGTTATGAACTACACGGTAATGTACCCATCTTATTAAATACCAGATAGTTACAAGGATGAACTGAAGTTATAGAGTAGTTTCAAATGCACGTAAACATAATAACTTTTTGGGTCGTTATATTACCTATTTTACGGTGCTTCATGTTCCTCGAGTGATTTCCTGAAGTTAAATGGGTTTAGGGAACATTCCTATTCAATCTTCGTCGGCGTTAATCAAATTCCTTTTGTTCTTTGTAGTTGTGTGACTAATTTCATATGGCAATGAGCAGCTGAGTATGATGTGTTTCGCGACAACTGAGAAGTATTCAATAGTATAGTACAGTGACAAAGGACCGACTTAAGAAGGGCTCACGAAGCCTTCTGTGAATAACCGATTGGTGCAATAAGTAATCATATAATATTTTGTTTACCCGGCGTGTTTCTGAATATCCCTCAATGTGAAATGAGATCGGTATGCGAAATAGACGGTAAGGAGCTTTATGAAGACCCTTACAAAATTAAATCTAAACAAGCGTTGGTTTACAAGGTAAGCCTACACACGTCCAATTTCCTGTACTGTATATGGTACTGTAGGGTCATATAACGACTGAATGTTGACTACTGTGTGATTATTCGCATAACGAATCCTGAATTTTCATGGTTATCTGCAGTATGCATACGAATTCGAATATTTATCCATTAATTTTAGGCATTTTAACGGATTGCAATTTTTCCTGATTGGTTGATTGAATTTTTACTGACTGAAATACAGTTCAGGTTTTACTGGCCTTGTGGTTCTCACTGTATTATTACATCATAATTTGCTGATGTAGTGGTATTTAGTCCTAATCATACAATCCTCAAAGCGGAACATGAGATAAATGGGAAAATGGATTTTCCAGATTTAGTACTGAAAAAAGGCCAACTCTATGGAATGCGGCAACATTCATTCAATTGGAACGGTGCGGCTCGGACTTACGGGCGTGGTCATTCTTATGCAACCCATACCTTTCTACATTATATATGTTACTCCATCCCTAGCCAAAATGTGTTCGTCCTAAGTATCATATTGTTACTTATCACGATATGATGAGTCTGTGTAGACAAGGCTGTAACTCACACGTAAGACCTTATATATTAGGCAGTCATATCATAGCATATCCACAATGACTCTTACAGTAACTAGCACATTTCAAAGTGATGTGTGTCAGAAGTATATAATGTGTAACTAAGGAATAACAGGAAAATACATCAATAAATCTTAATCAGTATCAAAAATATCTTACATATTTAGTCTATTACGTGCCAATAACCACCAGTAAACCAAAATACAGCAAGACATATGGGCAGTTACATTTTGCATATATGTAATTGTTTGTGATCCTAACGTAATCAACGACTAAGAATCAAGAGGTATCAAATAATCACAGTCAAATGACAAAAAACATCACTGCTGCTAGGCAAGGATCCTAGTTGTATCCTCAAGTGAGAGAAAGAGCGAATTAATAAAATCAGACGTTGAAAATCAAGGATTGGACGAAGCAGTACACGTATTAACAGAAAGTTTAATATGTACTAAAAGGTCACACGTAGTATTGTGGGTAGATAGGACTGAAGAAGATGACGACCAACTGTTACCGAGATTTTATGTCCTTACTCCAGCACCAAAACTACGAGAGAATAGATCCACTTGTTTGCGCTAGTTCGTCGCAAATGATATCGAAGTTGGAACTTAGGGACTGTTTCAACTCAAAAACTTTCCAACTTATTAGACAAAATCTGCAGGCGAACAATAAAATCAGCTCCAACAACATATCTTCAAACGCATCAAGACATGTGCAACATTTTTTTAGAATGCATGTGCTTAAATATAACTTTATAATGATATGTTCAATCTCTTCACGCTCGTTTAAAACACTAATTCATAGCTGTAAAATCATCATTAATGAGATCATCTTTGGCTGAAGACCTATAAAACTATTCATTTTAGGGATTTGTTTAACGCTAGAGAGTCCTTGTTTCACTTTTTGTTTACAATTTGTTTTCAAACAAGTTAGTCTCTGCATACAAATTTCCACTTATACATTATTATTGAATATGGAAGACGGTAAATTAGACGCTTTGTTTATTATACTTGATTTTTTTCAAACTATTGAGGTCGACCAATAATGACGGCGATGCCACTAACTTTTTGGCTGAACAATACTCCCGGACATTTCATCCGACCCACATAAACTATACTGATGACAACTTCTGCATCTGCAATTACACAGGACTTTCCGAAGTGAACCTGAGCGCTGACTTGCTGTTTGGGGACTTGCAGCACCTAAGAAAGGACACTTCTCCTGGCGTAAATATGGTTTATTCTGCTATACTAAGGGAAGCAGCTTCAGTCCTGGCAACACCGCTTAGCGTGATGTCCACACACTCGCTAGGCCTAGGCAAACTACCGGAAAATTTGAAGCCGGCTCACATCACACCAATTTTCAAACGAAGTCGACTCAGCGAAACTTCAAGTTCCCGACCGGTGGCTCTTCTCTCTATACCTTCAAAAATCATGGAGTCCCTGTTATGCCATGGTATATATGATTATTCACTGTCCTCAAATTTCTTCTCACTCCAAGAGCATGGTTTTAGGAAGGGTTAATCTTGTACAACCAACCTGCTGACTGCGGTAGACAGATGGACAAGCATCCTTGATCGCAAGGGGAAGGTTGATATCATGTATCTTGATTTCTCGGAAGCTTCTGATAGTGCCAACCATGTATGTCTTATCAATAAGCTCAAACGAATGGGTATCAGACCACCTCGAATTGATTGGCTTATTTCAAATCTGAAAATCGACAATTAAACGTTCGGGTTAACTTCACTTCAGCTCAGGCTATGGAATGTCCTAGTGTGGTCCTCCAGGACTCAGTACTAGGACCTCTCCTGTTCTTGATTTTTATAAATGATCTTCCACAACAGGTATTCCCAGACTTATCACTTTTTGCTGATGACGTGAAACTTTGGAGAGAGATAGGCAACCAAGAGGATATGCAGGCACCATGCTAGCTGCGACAAAAATGCCTTTCGAGCAAACCTTGCACTGGTAACAATGAGGCGCATTTCTGGCCAGTTTGACGGAAGGACCTTTCACGTTATCTTCAAAAGTTTTATTCGTCCTCATTTAGAGCACGGAAACATAGTATTTCTTCCTTCACTCGAAAAGGATAAGGACAATCTGCTGCGTATCCAGCTGCGAGCCACTAAATCAGTCCAAGGACTCAAACCTTCAATCACTTAACCTTTACCCGTTAGAGTTGAGGCGTCTTTAAGATGGCCTTCTAATGGCTCACAGTATCCTTATCACTTCTGAACATCCCCTTTAACACTTACTTAATCTTAGTCCCAATACAAACCTAAGACGTAACACACAGAAATTGGAGATACAACACAGCAGAGCGGACTGTAGACACAACTTCTACTCCTTAAGAGTTGCCAAATACTGGAATTCGTTGTCGTCTAAGCTAGTCGAAGCGACTTCTAAGGAGTCCTTTAAGAGGCAACATGACCTATTCTTAAGGACTAAGGATAACATCTTATTATGAGTTACCAATCTCTTTTTTTCCTCTTTTATCGTTAACATACCTAGACTCCTGCCTGGAAGTATTGGTGATCCCTTGTTACCAGATATGGAAGCCCGTTTAGCGAAAACTTCTATTGCACCATTTGATTGAGAATTGAAGATAAGCACTAGCCATTGCGCTCACTTCGTATAATTGCGGAACATAGCACCTATCTAAACTCATAAAGTATGTCTTTGAAACAGGCCGTCGCCAAAAGTAAGTCTCCTACTATGTACTGTCTATAAGTCTAGAATTGATGGATGAAATAATTATCCCCTTGAGAAAGCCTAAAGATTGGAAAGTTCTCGTTCTGGATCGATTAGCCACTAGAATTGTATCTTCGTGTTGTAAGATGCACGAGATAATGAATAACGGCATAACATGTAGTGAATGTTTTCTGACAAATATTTATTTCGTAGTGGTTGAAGACATTTTTAAGAAAAGGGAAGTGCTGCCGATTGAGGCAATATACTTGATCACTCCTACAGATGAAGTAAGAAAATTACTATACTTCTAACTCCATAGTCTTTAAAACTTCTAATGGAGGATTTTCAAGGGTCTCAGAGTCAATATCGTTATGCCCACGTTTTCTTCACCGAAGGTAGGTTAATTTTCAGATACTGTAATAGGCGTGTTATATTTGCTCTCTTCTCGAGATGTTTTCCGTTTTTCTTAATGATAAATTCACTACATCTGAGGCTTATATTATTTCCCATTGAAAATTAGACCAGAAGTTTTCAAAGCGTTCGAGGGACCTGGCTGTGATATCCCCACACAGGTCCCTATACTCATAGTCGGTGGTTGTGAAGCTTGCCACAAATGTGCGCTAGCCCAGGTTACTGTACCGCATTAACGCGATGAAATGGAATTTCCAAGACATGATGGAGTCAAATTGGCATAGTAGCGATGAGAAAAACTACTGAATCTGATTAAAAAAACCGTAAAGATTCATGTGTCAAGAAATCCTGAGAGGAAGATTAGAATGAATGCGAAATTGTGACTTGTGCTGAGCTATATCGCGCATATGCAGTGGTTGGTCGTTGTTGTTGTGCGTCCTCCAAATAGATAGTTTGTATCTACCGAGATGTCAGTTAGTGGCTTCCTGAACTGATACCATGTACTGATTTATCCTCTCCTAGCTCTTTTCAAACCCATTACTACTCCTGCTAACATCGCTCATCAAAGTAGGCGTGTTTAACATGTCTTAACCACCTCAGTCACTAATGATTCATAACCATTCAATCCACTTTCCGCCTTTGCTTATTGTCGCATGTCTAAGATCAACATCGCTCACTTGGTTGTCACATGAAACGTGAGCAATGGTTCGAGGAAATCTATGGTCCAAAACTTGTTTATTATTTATCTATTTATTTATTTGAACACAAATATTGGCACAAAAGATCACCAAATATATATGAGCCACACAAAACAATGAGAATGGGAAGAGGAAAATGAAGGTGAGGGGTGTAGAAGAAAAAAGAGAACAATAACGACTAGATTAGTGTAAGGTAGTGTAATAATAATAATAATAATAATAATAATAGGGCAAACGGAAAGGTACAACCAGAAGAGATCTTTCAGTTAAGGAAGATACAACCATTTTTATGAAGAAAGCAAAAGAAGGTTACAGCAGGATCGTCACTGGCTTCTATTCTGAGCCATATCTTATATTGTCTCTAGCCACTGTGTCGCACCATGTCTCGGACCCCAACCAGGAAGTCGTGAAGAAACAACAGAAGCCAGCCCTTTGCAACTTTCCTTCATATCATGACACCATGTCATACACTGACCACCTCTCTACTTTTTCCAACCAGTCCCAGAGTCGGCAAATAATGCACGATGTGGAATTCTCTGGGACGACATTCGTAGAATATGTCCAAGCCACCGAAGTCGATGTTTCAAGATGGTGACACCAATTAGATTATCGTCTCTGTGCCCGAAAACACGATGCCGAACCTCTGCATTAATGATATGGTGTTGCCACTGGATGTCAGCAATCCTTCGGAGACAGCGATGATCGAACACAGAGAGGCGTCTAACGTCCTCAACTCGGAGAGGCCAGGTTTCACAAACATAGAGCAGAACTGCTCTCACCGACGCGTTGTAGATCCGACCTTTTACAGCTAGACTGACATCACGAAGGCGCCAAAGATGGCCCAGATTGGCATAAGCCGCTCTGGCTTTCACTATACGTGTATTGATCTCACCACTCACACCCCCACCAGCACTTATGCAGCTACCCAGATACACGAACTTCTCAACTACGTCTATCTGCTCACCATCCAGGGTGAGTACAGGATTAGAATCCTGCCAGTCTTGTAGAAGTACTTTGCACTTCGAAGGTGCAAAGCACATAACCATACTTACGGACACTGATTGCCAACTGATTAAGTGCGGGTTGCATGGCTTGGGCATTATCACACAGTAAGACAATATCATTCGCATACTCAAGGTCGAGAAGTCTTTCTCCAGGCAACAGATCCACACCACCATTACTTACATTCATCAGAGCTGTTTCCAGAATGTCATCGATGGCAAAGTTGAAGAGGAATGGTGAGATTGGGCAACCCTGTCTAACCCCACTGTTTGATTGTAACAATGGAAAAAGGTGGTTGAATGCCCTCACTCTGCCTGAGATGTTTGCATATAGGGCCCTTAGGATGTTAATAAATTTCTCAGGCACACCCTTCTTCAATAGACAATGGCAGAGAACAGTCCTATCCAACGAATCGAAGGCAGCCCTGATGTCAAGAAACACTACGATTGTTGGCCTTTGATAAGTATGATGGTGTTCTAACATTTGGCGGAGGGTGAAGATATGATCAATACACTCTCAACCAGAACGAAAACCAACCAGCTCCTCGCGAGTCAATCTTTCTCGGGTTTTGAACAGCCTGCGAAGTATGACGGAAGCCAATATTTTGTACGCAATCGGAAGTAGACTTATCCCTCGATAGTTGTTACAGGAACGACGTGAACCCTTTTTAAAATAGGGACAACTATCGACTCATTCCATGACGTTGCTACACTCTCTAGTTCCCAAACCTTTGTAAACAACGTCGTCAATTCCTTAGTCAAAAAGTCACCACCATCTTTAAAAAGAGCCGGGGGTAATTAATCTGGGCGAGGTGATTTGTAGCGCTCCAAGAGTTGGAGTTTCTTGCGGACTTCCGTTTCATTTGGTGGATCAGTCGTCACCAGCCATGGAGGGCAGGACAGTCTGACCGATGTTGCCGGAGCAGCGGGCCAGTTGAACTGTCCTTCGAAGAATTCTGCCCATCGTCCAAGACGTCGATGGATGTTAGTGATTGTCGTCCCGTCATCCTCGCAGATTGTTTCACTCACACCAGACTTCTTGCTGCCAATGGCTCGGATGAGCTGTTAAAGCTTCCGGTAATTACCAGATGCAGTTGCTGCTTCCAGCTCATTAGCACGCTTCGACCACCAGGCTTCTCGGTCCTTACGCAAGCTTTGCCCAATTGCCTTACGTAACATCCTTCGTTTATGGTCAAACTCACGGTCACCCGGAGTAGACCGACGAGCTTCAATGAGTTGTAAGGAACCAGAAGAAACCCAGTGCTTAAAAGCGGGACCTTTCGCAAACCCACGACTGACTGTTCCCGCCATTTTCATGGCGTCATGCAATTGCAACCAATGCTCATCTATACTTTTCGGTGGAATGGTAGCTAACCTAGAGGCTAGCTCGGTTCGATACTTACTTGCAACAGAAGTTGCAACCAGCTTGCTAACATCAATCTTTTGGTGGCGGTCACTTCGTTGTCCACTGAAAAGTAAGGCAAGATTGGCGCAGACCAAGGCATGGTCAGAGTCCAGATAGGTACTCCAGAAGGAGCGGCAGTCTTGTACACAACCACGCCAGCTGTAGCTGATCGCGATGTGATCAATCTGAGTCCAGGCATGGGGTGCAGAGTGAGGACGCCAGGTGGCACATCGGCGATGACTGTGCCGAAAGTTAGTGCTAGCCAGAAACAGGTTGTGGTCCGTGCAAAGTTGCAGTAGACGGTCCCCGTTATCTGACCTGCGACCAACGAGTCCCCATCGGCCACCTAAACGACTCTCTTCTGTGCCTAGACGCCCGACCTGAGCATTTAAGTCTCCGGCTAGTACCACAATATCTGTCGAACGCACTTTCTGGAGAAGAACAGATAACTGGAGGTAGAATTCATCCTTGATTGCATCCGGGCTGCAATCTGTCGGGGCATAGGCGGAGATGACGAAAAGACATCGTTTCTCACGCCGATTTCTTCTCACTTTGATGGAACTTTCTAATCTAACAGCACATAACCGACTGTTAATGGGGATCCAATCGGTTAGTGCTGCCTCAGCTCTAGCGCTTAGTGCGACACCAACGCCAGCAAGACCAGACGAAGATGCCACAGGGTCCCCGGATAAGTGCACGTAAAACAAGCTTTTCGAAGCGACAGATGGAGATCGAATTCGTAGTACTTCGCCAGAATCTTGAATACGGGTCTCGCATAGACAGCAGACATCGATATTAAGACTTTCCAAATACAGCCAGCCCTATCTGTTGTCCGATCTGCATAAGTGTGCGAACGTTGAAGGCAGCCAGTTTGAATGGTGCACGTGGTTTCAGAAAAACTGCTTCAGTCCTCGTATTTGATAGTAACATACAATTTTCAACCGGACAGTGACTCGAGAACGTTTAGATAGAACCGAGTTTCCACCATAGGCGAGCTGCTGTATAAGTAGAAAAATAAAGATAGACAGAGCGGGAATAAAAGAGAGTGAATAAATGACATAGTAAATAATAATAATAATAATTACAATAGTAATAATAATAATAATAGTAATGTGAATAGTTTGTTTGTTAATCGAAGCAAGAAAGGTATTTTCCATAATTATCGACAGTTCATATTTGTGTGTGAGCTGTGATACTGCCCGGGTGCCCAGACCGAAGCAGGTGGTGTTCTTTGGGGGCCACACCCTGAGCCCTTGACCTAAAGGTCTAACCCACAAGGCAGTAGAGCATCGTGAGGAGATGCAGTCCCATGGTAGATGGTGACCAACGATTGGTTCATACATTTGTTCTTTCAGGATACTGGAGCCCATGTGCACCATTGACTTGGTTTGGAATCCGGTTAAAGCGCCGGACATTCGCTTTTCGTCCTCATTTTCGTAAACAACACCCCTGTGGTGAGAGAACGCAGTGATTAGGACTTTCCTGACAGAGGTTGTATACTCGTGGCCGTGTGATAGCATTTGGAGACGGAGGGCGGGCCCACCCCTTTCTCGGTCATACCAGGGCATTCGGGGGCTAATGCATATCTTTTGCTTCGAATGGGCATGTTTCATGGTCATAAAGTAATACGAAATGGACTGCTGCACAATACGCTCGCCCTTTTGTTGGTAGTCGGACATATATTTTAATCCGCAGATGATGCAATTTGGCAAAGTTTAACGGAGCTTCGTGAACCCATGCTGAGATTCCAACAGACACCAACCCTTAAACTGTGATAAGACTTCCAAAAAGTGTTCGATGCACTTAGCTACTTCGCTCTTTATGGTCCATGTAGCAACAATTTGGATTTAAGGAGAGTGAAACGCACCCCACGTGCTTGGATTGTTACTTAAGATTATCATAAGATCCTTCATTATGTCAATGTCCTCACTTCATCTGCATATTGTAGATCAATAAGTGGGCCACATTATAGGGGCAGAATCCATGAACAGTTAAATAAAGTAAGTGTGATTTCCAGGATATTCAGAGCTGAATTAAGTGAGGAGAGTAATTGTAAACAATCACGACAAGCATCACTTAGAATTGACGATTGAAATGGCAGTTTGCCATAAGCTCTGAGTAGACCAATACTGTTCGTGTAGAAATGATTCACAAGATGTATGTACTTCTTTGGAATAACTTTCAAGACAGATATTACAGTCAAATGCTGTCTTAAAGTCAAGAAATCCGACCATAGTATGACGTCTTTGGGTTTACCTTTCCTAAAATCTGTGTAGTGAGTATATAGTTGATACATCCACGTTCAGTTCTGAAACTAGCCTAGTTTTGCCGTGTTTAGTCCTCATGAATCCCTCAATAGTCAGACGATTATAGAGGTCATTATTTTAGATAATATTTTAGTCAAATTGATTCCTCTGTGGTTACCGCAGAAGGATTTCTGCTCTTAAAAACTGATTGAGTAAGCCATCGAGGCCAGTCAGATTTATTTGCATCTACCTTTTAAACTGTAGCTGGTATTGCAGTAATTTTAGCGGCTAAGACTTGACCACACTCTTAAAGATCTCTGGGGTTAATCCATCAGGCCTCCATCGCTTTTGATTATCCATAGTTTTTTCAACCCTGTTCCCATCCACCCTCAGTTTGATGTTGTCCTAATTCCCTTACCTAGATTACATTTTTCAGTTCAGTGTTTGGATTTGTTTCTTTTTTTCCAATGAAATAAAAAATGACCCCATATACTTTTTATGATGCTTGTGAATCGATCGTCACCCTTGTTTAATAAAAAGAACTCTCCAGAGCATGTGAGTTGTGTTATGATATCAGCGGTCTCATTTTGTGCTTCTGGCAACATAGTACCCTGAATGTATTAGTTAGGAATTTCTCAAGTAGTTATCTTCAGGTCGAAACGATTTTCCTTCACCTGTATAGCGGGCGCTTGTAAACTTGGTGGATAATAACATGTACCATTCAGTATTTAACTTAATATATCAAACATCTTTTCTTGTTCTGTTACTTCTATTGCTTTGTAAACTGCAAACTGGTATGATTTCATTTCAAATTTGTTGTCATCAGATCATATTTAATGTAGTCTAATCATCTTTACTTCGCTACAAGTTTTTTTATGCTTTGGGTGTATTCTTATCGAAGATATATGACATGAATGCCTCAGTCTATATACACCTATGATATTTCAGTTCTTATCGTAAACTTCATTGCTTCTAGCTTGCCCAGATGAGCTGTTCAACCGGCTTTGCCAGTCGAATTCCGCCATATTTTTAAAAACGCTTAAAGAAATCAACATAGCTTTTCTACCGGTTGAATCTCGAGTCTTTTCGTTGGATTCACCCATGAGCTTTCAATATTACTTCAATCCAGTAGCCAGACAACAGGGTTCGGGACAACAACTTGAGCGAATCGCTGAACAGATTGCAACGTTGTGTGCCACATTAGGTGAATATCCCGTTATTCGTTACCGCACGTAAGTCATTTTAAGCAATTCATCTTTCTAACCTCAGTATTGATTTTACCTGCATGACATCCAGAAGTTTATTAAATTTTCATTAACATTGGCTAAGTTATTGGTCTATGCAGCATTGGGACATTTTAAAAATTACTTACTTTAATGTAGCTGTTTTTGTGTAATTGGTATTCGAAAAACGATGCTTTTTGCTTTCATGGAAGTTATTAATCTACATCGTATTCTGGTAAAAACACTAACACTCTGAATTTAAGTAATCTATAGAATAGAGGCTTCTATCATCTTATTGTTTCAAGCTGTATTGTTACCTACAGCACTACGAATTTTTCGTTTGAAGTTCTGGGACTGTGTTACTCCATTTCTCTGATCAACCTTCCTTTGATAGCACGTGATTCTGATTTAAACTTTTGTAAATCCCACTGATATTTTAGTTGAGGTTAGGGAATGTAGCTTTTTAAATGATCATTGAATTATGATAGTTCCTGGCTAATATGATATTTTATTACGATGTAATTTACCCATTTTAACATTCATATAGTGTGTCTATATAAATATATTCCATTCACTAATAGTAGGATGTATGAACTTTTATAAATTGATTCAAATAAACAATTTTGAAATTAAGATATTATTCACTGAAGCATTGATCGCCTTTTGTGAGTTCACTGAATATATTTGATTCGTACATAAATGTATGTATTATGAATAAGAATTTCTAGAGCTTATAGACGTTTGATGCACGATTCACATAATTTCCAGTAAATTCAGCTTTAGTCATCCAGTATTCAACGGAAAAAACGGTTGTTTTAACAGTTTCAATCTTTTTTGGATCATTTTAGTCAGTTTGAAAGGAACGCCGAGTTCGCACAGTTAGTTCAACAAAAATTGGATGCATACAAAGCGGACGATCCTCAAATGGGCGAGGTTAGTCTAATGAAACTTCAGTACTCAAAGTAAAATATCGTAAATCTATTTAAATATATACTCTATCAAGTTTTTAGTATTCTAAATAGTTTTTACGAAGTTAGTTCAATCCATCGATAATGTGATTTATTTTTTATCAAAAAACATGTTTTTTGTTCCAGGGTCCACAAAAAGAAAGAAGTCAATTGATTTTACTTGACCGGGGATTCGATCCTATCTCACCTATTTTACATGAACTCACTTTCCAAGCCATGGCTTACGACTTACTGGCAATTGAAAATGATGTTTACCGGTAAGCTGGGTTGCTTTTGTTCACTAGTTATTTTTTGAGTGCGTGATACTAATCCTTATAATAATAATAATAATAATAATAATAATAATAATAATAATAATAATAATAATAATAATAATAATAATAATAATAATAATAATAATAATAATAATAATAATAATAATAATAATAATAATAATAATAATAATAATGCATTGTGCACCAACCTAAGGTCTGTGCAATTTGTTTTTGTGGCCTGGTTCTTCTGTCTTAACGAGTTATTATGTCAGACCTGTTACGTAATCACGGTTGACACTGATTGACCAAATAATCAAGTTGATTAATTTATTAGTACCAATAAAAAACGGGCATAAAAGCACATGACAATTCATCAAACTAGTCATTTTTTTAATCGATTTACGCAGTGATCAGTTTTAATCAAATAGTTTATTCAGTCACTGCTTAGAATTCAATGATGAAACAATATATTTTTTAGCTGATCTATGATTTTTTTAGGTACTGAATGAATGTTTCCTATTTAATGGAATTCATTTAATTTACTACTAACAGTAGTGAAGTTCTAGAAAAGCATGCTTAATATGGGTAATATTTAATGAGTAATTTGTCACATAAAAGTGGTGTTTGAGGATAGAAGTCAATTTTTTTAGTGTTCGCTGTATATCAAAACTTGCGTTACATCATTTGTTAATATACTTAAATTAACAGTCTGATAAGACGTACAAATTTTACATTAGAAGTATTTATATCGATTTCATTTTCGCAATTTTCCTAATGCATGCGTTGGTCCATCGACGCGACTGTTAAATGTATATTAGTGATTTTGTTAAAAACGTCAGATACATATTTATAGTCAATAAGTCCTGATTAACCTTATTATTCTTTTCTACCATTATTCAAATCAAAAGCAAATACAAAGTTACTGGACACACTTTGTGCTGTTTCTAGTACAACATAGTGCAAAACATTAAATATGGTTATTTTATTTGTATTCATATACCTATCTGTGAATAAAATTATTGGTTTCATATTGATAGTGGCAATCAGTGAAATCCATAGTCAGTATGCTATCATTAGTCGGAAAATAGTGGTTTAGTAGTTAAAGTATCTGAATTTCAACTGCGGAACTATACGTACCAAGCCTTCTCGATTGGAACGACCGGTTAGCCTCATTGGCCTTCATACAGCTGAATATATTAACTTAGTACTGCCTATTAGTGCAAAAGCAGTAAGTTGTATTGGAATGGAAATGGAATAAATTATAAAGTTTTTTCTCAAACTAATAACTTTTCTTTATTTTGAAATAATGGATATTCCAGTTACATCAACACATCAGGTCCTGAGGAGCGTGTTAAAGAAATTATCTTGGATGAAACTGATGAGCTTTGGTGTGAACTTCGTCATCAACACATAGCAGTCGTTTCACAACAGGTTAATATTTTTGATATTTAATGAATATCTGAGCGTCTTTATATTACAAATGGCTTAGAGAATAGGAAATACCATCCAATAACTATTGTTTAGGATTCACGCTTGATGTATGGAAGTTACCAATACATTGTTTTCTATAAGCTTCATATCTGCGACCAAAATCATTCAGTTCAATGACTTTTTAACATTCTAATTGTCTAGACTGAATATCTCAATGTCTAAATACCAAGGAGGCCATAAACCCCACTTTTCTCAGAGCTTAAAATACTACCCTGTTACTCTCATTTTGATAGGTAAAGTAGAGTTAAAATATATAACTAACTGGTTAGAAGTTGACTACTGTAATTATAAGTAACCTAAAGATTCCTTTGCTCAATATTATTGTGTTTAGGGAGTGCCCAGATTTTCTAGTGTCATTAGGAGTGTGACAGCGAATTTGTTGATGAGAGCAGCGTAAATGCTGTAGTTACAGTGAACATGATATGTAGAAACCTCGGTAATACTGTGTTGCGTGCTACTTATATTGATATAAGTAGTATATAACGTGAGTCAAAAGAACGTGATGTCTGGCAGCAGAGGTTGGAGAAGATCATGAAAAGAAGAGCGAGAACACAATGGAATTTGTAAGAAATCGCATGAACAATGAAATGCGAGACAATGGATTGATGTTTGCAACAGCAACAGTCCGGTTTGATATGATAGAATGATATTTTGCAAATTAACGATTTACTATATGGTTTTTCTATTTTACCAAGTAATTCTGTAATTTGTCCTAAATACAATTTGGATGTCCTCACCCGTGTTCTCCCTCACTACATTTGGTGTCGCTGCCTCCACTAAGGGTGGAGATTCCAACGAGTGTTCTTTCTATTCTCGGAATCTGGGGATTGTTGCGTTAGTAGACAGAGGGGCAGTATATACGAGAGTGAACATAAATGAGCGAGATTTAGTTTGTCTGATCGATACAGGTGCGGCAGTATCGTTAATAGGCAAAGAGCAATGTAAGAGAATCAAGCCGTGTACATTAGCTCTCCACACGATAGGAGGCCATATGTTAGAGGTGTTTGGCGTATCTAACAGTATCGTAAAAGTGGGGGATGCTGAGATAAATTTTCCGTTCGTGGTAACCACAAGCTTATCGAGACCGATATTAGGAGCAGATTTCATAAGAGAAGTAAAAGCGATAGTTGATTTAAGAAGCGGTAAGGTGGTCACGAAATATGGTTCATTGACAATACACGAAAGTAGCGAAGTGGCTGAAATAAGAGTTGCAACGGATGTCTCGTCAAAGAAACCAAACATTCACGAGTTATGCAAAAAGTATGCGAAACTATTCACTGGAGATGGGGAGCCGTATGGATTTTATGACAGAGTAAAGCACGAAATACCGATAAAGAACAGTCGAGTAAATATATTTGCAAAACGTCGTGTCCCGGTGCATTTAGAGGCCGAGGTAAATCGTCAGGTCCAGGAAATGTTAAAAGAAGGTATAATTGAGGAAGCGGACAGCCCATATAGCTCGCCGGTACTCTTGGTAAAGAAACCAAATGGAAAGTATAGATTTTGTGTCGACTTCAGAGAATTGAATAATATAACAGACCTGAAGCCTTGTGCAATACCAACAGCGGTGGAAACATTAGATCGGCTACAGAATGCCACGGTGTTTACAGTGCTGGATTTACGGTCAGGTTATTGGCAACTGCCTATAAAACAGAGTGATCGAAGCAAGACAGTGTTTACTGTACGTGATAAACAGTATCAATTTAAACGAATGCCGTTCGGGTTGGCGGGTGCACCGTTCACGTTCAGAAGATTAATGACACTACTGCTCAAGAATCTAGATAATGTCGAGGTATATGGCGACGATGTAGTTGTGTACAGTCAAACAGAAACAGATCACATCAAGCATGTGGAAGCGGTCTTAAAGCGAATTGACGAATTTGGACTTCGGATTAATAAGGACAAGTCGCATATAGCGAGAAGTATCGTCACATTGTTGGGACATAAAGTGGGAAATGGAGAAATAAAACCATTGCCGGAGAAAATTCTTACCATAAAAAATATTGCAGTACCTAATTCGATAAGGAAGTTGAGACAGTTCCTGGGAAGAGCGGCGTTCTACAGTCGGTTTGTCAAGAATTTCAACGAAATAGCAGCACCCTTATATAAGTTATTGAGCAGCACCAAGTTTACGTGGACTGAGACTGCCGAACAAACGTTCAACCGAATCAAAAACATGCTAGACGATCGCCAGATGACGCTCAGACTGCCTGAACCGGGAAGACTGTTTACAGTGACCACAGACGCGAGTGATCATGGTATAGGTGCTGTGTTGAGTCAGGCTGATAGAGTGGTGGAATACGCGAGTCGCGTCCTCACATCTGCTGAACAGAAGTATTCAACCATCGAAAAGGAGTGTTTAGCGATCGTGTGGGCAGTGGAAAAATGGGGACCGTACCTTTTAGGTAGACGATTTCACATTGAGACCGACCATAAACCCCTGCAGTGGTTGTAAACAGCAAGAGACCCCCGAGGGAAGTTTTCGCGATGGATGATACGCCTGCAAGAATACGATTTCAGTATCGGCCATGTTCCAGGAAAAGAAAACGTAATGGCGGATTACTTGTCAAGATCAGACATGAAAGCCGACCTGCCATTAACAGCATACGCGGTGAATAGTTTAGAGGGAGACCCATTAGAACTCGTCCGGCAGCAGAAAGCTGACCCTAACCTTCGAGAGGTAATCAGAGTGATAAAAGAGGGAGCAGACGTAGATAAACGAACAATGGACAAGGAGGTAATAACGCTGCTTCGGTAAAAGGAACGACTGAGAGTGAACTCATATGGAGTGCTGACCTGGCAGGACGATGACGAGAATTGGGTGGCGGTGATCCCGAAAGACTGGCAGCGTAAAGTGATACACGAGTGTCACCAGGTAGCACATATAGGCATCGCAAGAACGACGGACTTACTACGACAAAGTGCACACTGGCCGAGCATGAGAGACGATGTGGCTGAATACGTGTTAACCTGCCAGCAGTGTCAGCTAATGAAAAGCAATCGATACACACAACCGCCATTACAGTCAATCCCAGTAACCGCAGTCGGTGGATGTGATGGGACCGTTTCCACAGACGGCGAGCGGTAACCAGTACCTGTTATTGATGACGGAACATGCTACACGTTGGGTAGATGCCGTACCCATTGCAGACCAGCGGGCAAGGACAGTGACCGAGGTGGTAATCCGGCATATTGTAGCGTGTCACGGAATACCAAAGATGATATTAACTGACCAGGGTCCCTGTTTTGAAAGTGACGAGTTTAAAGCCCGTTTAAAGCAGTTTGGCATCAAGAGAATACGAACTACACCTTATCGTCCTCAGACAAACGGGCTTACAGAGAGAAACAATCGGACGTTAAAGGAATGGTTAGCATCAAAAGGAGGAAATTGGGAGAAAGAGTTACCATTGATTTTGCTGGCACATCGTTCCTCCACACAAGGAACAACCAAGAAGTCACCTTTCTTGCTCATGTATGGCAGACAACCACGACTTCCAATGCATAATAAGACCTGGCTACAACAACAGAAGTGGACGACAACAAGGTTAAGAAAGGAGAGGAAAGAGGCAATAAAAAACGTGGAAAAGAAACAAATATCAGACACAAAGAAGGCAGAACAACAGAGGAGAACGTGAAAACCCTTTGCAGTGGGGGACCTAGTAAAGTGTAGAGAACGAAAAAGTAACATAGCAGGGGAGCAGGGTCGGGGAAGCTGGCCCCAAAGTGGGAAGGACCGTATGTTATCACGGAGAGATGCGGCTCGGTCTACACGATCCGGAGTGAAGACAAGCAGAAGCACGTAAATGCTAGTCAACTACAGAGATGGTTTCAAGATCATCATGGGTGTGAATCACGAAAAGCACCAAAGAACACAGCTGTACGGAGATCAGAAAGACTACGACAGCAACTTGTTAAAAGGGGGACGAGTGTGGTGCGTGCTACTTATATTGATATAAGTAGTATATAACGTGAGTCAAAAGAACGTGATGTCTGGCAGCAGAGGTTGGAGAAGATCATGAAAAGAAGAGCGAGAACACAATGGAATTTGTAAGAAATCGCATGAACAATGAAATGCGAGACAATGGATTGATGTTTGCAACAGCAACAGTCCGGTTTGATATGATAGAATGATATTTTGCAAATTAACGATTTACTATATGGTTTTTCTATTTTACCAAGTAATTCTGTAATTTGTCCTAAATACAATTTGGATGTCCTCACCCGTGTTCTCCTTCATTACAATACTACAAGTTCCAGTTTCGTAGAATTGCATATACACACTTACAGTCAGGTGGATAAAGTATACATAATTAGTTATAACGGGTTGAATTCAATAGCATGCATAATTAAAATTATTTTTAGTGAATACAACTCAACCCGTAACAGTAATCTTTGTGTGGTTGTGTGACGTTCGATTTGATTTTTACGCAACTTCTATTGAGAATTCTAAGTTCTGTAGTAGAAATTCTCGAAATGTCGAAAATCAATTGTTCAACACCATAAATATCAAGGAATTGTGTATTTTTATATGACTACGGACTCCAAACTCAGAGAAATGATTGGTATTTGGTTAGCGTTTTTATTTATTCATCTCTAACACAATGAGAACTGAGATAAAAAGCTTTAGGTAACCAGAGATTACAAAGTAGATTTTTAAAGCATTGGTCAAGCTGCCATTCATCGAAGTTTTATGTTTCTTGTATTCGAAGCAACAGAGAAAGTTTTCGAATGAACACTCTAAAAAACTACACTACTTCATAAATTTACCATCAATTTCGGTTTCGTCAAGATTTATAAGATTGGACAACATGGTTCATTAGTTAATCAAAACCATTAAAGTAGTCTCTTCATCTTTTTGTAAATCATAAACATGATTTTGTCATCTATTTCCTGTTGTTTTATTCTAATAGGTTACTAGCAAATTGAAAAAGTTCGCTGAAGATAAACGTATGGTTAACGCAGGCGATAAAACTACAATGCGTGATTTAAGTCAAATGTTAAAAAAAATGCCTCAATATCAAAAAGAGTTATCCATGTATTCAACACATTTTCATTTAGCTGAGGATTGTATGCAAACCTATCAAAATCATGCTAATAAACTATGTAAAGTCGAACAAGTAAGTTTTTAAAAAAAATAACTTAGTGAATCAATACATAAGTATTTTACGACTAATTTTATACAGATCAGACTAAACAACTTCATTTATTGGAAGTTGAATTATTTAGTACCTAACATTTTGATTATGTAAGATTACCAATCTATCAGTTGGACTATTAAAAATTACCACATTGATGTACAAGAAAAAGATTATTTGCGTTATTTCGTTCTGGCTTTGTTTTTAGGTGCAAATAGCAAGTGAAATAAACTTTTCACAATTCAATCTTTAGTTTTGAAGTTGTCATAACGTTGTTCAACTTTTAAAGTAGTACGTCCGAATAATGAGCTATATCGGTCATTAATGGTTAATCTGAGTCGTTGGTGTTTGTTTGTTTATTTACTCATCCCTTTTGCTCATCTTCATCTTAAACAGTGTCATCATGTAATTCTATTTTCTGTCTTCTTCCCCTCACGTTGTTGATAGGAAATGTAACGCTTTGAGCTATTATACATTTTTCAGTCTGTCTACTTTTAGATAATATGGCGATTACTTTTAAAAGGAATAATTCAACCGGAATAATCATAATTATTTTAAACTACTTTTCAGGATTTAGCCATGGGTACTGATGCAGAAGGTGAACGAGTCAAAGATCATATGCGTACAATGGTTCCTATTTTAATTGATCAGTCAGTTTCAGCATATGATAAACTTCGTGTGATTCTTTTGTATGTTATACAACGGGGCGGTATAAATGAAGAAAATTTAGCTAAATTAGTTCAACATGCTCAAATTCCCTCATCACAGGCGTGTATTGTGCGTAATTTGATGCATTTAGGAGTTCCTGCTATCCAGGATGCTTCAGGAGCTGTAAGCAGTTTTTTCTCTAAAAATAAAGCTTCTACTAAACTTCCGAATTACTACTTATAAATAGTGTATTAACATTTTTGTTTATGCACTTTTTTAATTACTTGTTTAAGAGATAGATTGATTTAGATTTTCAACTTGATAGATTGGTTAATGTAGAAATGTTTAGTAAACTTTGTTCGAAACCAGGAAATGGATGTCAGCTGCGAAGACTTATAATCTCTCGGAATAATCACTTCTGCCCAGTTTATATTTCAGTCGGTTCTGCACACTGGAGCACATGAAATTAATTACTTTCCATGCTGTGAGTGCTCACCGTATTATGTACAGTATCATACATATTTTTAGGTGTTTAGTATAACCTGTCTGCCGGATTGATAATAATAAACTATCATAAAACAACCTTGGTTATAGTGTTAGTGTAGGCTTTGGTATGTTTGGTGCTGCAAACATTATGAGGATAGGTAGCAACCAGAAAATTCACATTCTCGTCATATTATTTATATGATGTATTTATCAGTGGTCTATTCTTTATGCTAAAGATAGTGTGAAAAGTTACCATTCTTTTTAAACCGCACTTATACTCTCTCCTGTCTCCAGCTCTTATTATTTATCTATATAGTTAACCCCTCTTCACTTTCACATGAAATGCCGTGATAAAAAGATATGTAATTAGATTGTCCGAAATGTATCGCGCGATTAAACCATATTTTTGGATCAACTTGACCTTTTCATCACATCATGCGAGTTTATTTAAAAGAGGACTAACTAATATCAAATTCCCCTAAATAAACGACTATCATTGTTAAACTTTAAATATAAGTGACATGAAAACATTTTTTTTTCGAAGCTTGATAACTGAATTATTCATTTGTAAAAGTAAATCTTTTTCAAAAGAATATCATATATATCTCCTCTGTTTTTGGGGTAAACTTTTCAGGTCGCTTATGTCAAGGTAAGGTTGCATACCGTCTCTTAAAGCTGATTTAAACACAAATGACTAAACCTACTTGAAATCTTCTGAAATTATGTAACATTCTAATGATTTAATCCCTGCGTTTCTCATTACGTTTACATTAGAAATCAATCATTTATTCAATATTATGTCTTTACGAAGGAAAAAATGTTATGTGTGCAAACGAAATATGGTGAAATATGAATGTCGGGGCGATAGTAACCATACTTTTTCAATGTTAAATAAAAGTGCAATATCCAGCGTTTTCGAGCATAACAGATGAATGCTGTAACTAAGAACATAATTTTCACTGAGGATCTCATTCCAAGCTCTAACTCACGATTTTTGCCTTTTTTTCATCCAACAATTCAGGACACTACAGCAGATATATTTTGATGGTTTTGGATGACTAAATTGAAGTTATCAGTGAAAATTACACTCATATTTTCAGCACTGACATACTGAATAAACTAAAAAACGCAAAATTTATTGAACATCGAAAAAGCATGATTATCTTCGCCCAAATGACGTAGCTGAATAACCTTATTTTACAATCGTTCAATCTTTTTTTAACCCGTTAACAGTATATTCAAGTTATTTGACGAAATTTATTTGTTATTTTTAAACAGTTATTGTAAGTTCACAATAAACTTTGAAAAGGTTTAGTCCAACATTAATTCACGTTATATCATATTCCAATTTACTGGGTATATATATTTGCCCCCAAATGCACTGGTATGACCGAGAGTGGGGAGTTCGCTCTCCCTCTCGAAATGCTCTCACATGGCCACGCGTATACAACCTCTGTCAGGGAAGTCCTAATCACTGCCTTCCCTCACCACAGGGGTGTTGTTTACGAAAATGAGAGGACGAAAAGCGAATGTCCGGCGCTTTAACCGGATTCCAAACCAAATCGATGGTGCACATGGGCTCCAGTATCCTGCGAGAACAAATGTCGTATGAACCAATCGTTGGTCACCGTCTACCATGGGACTGCATCTCCTCACGATGCTCTACTGCCTTGTGGATTAGACCTTTAGGTCAAAGGCTCGGGGTGTGGCCTCTTAAGAAAACCACCTGCTTCAGTCTGGGTACCCGGTTAGTATCGCAGCCTTCACACATATCGAATGTGATTTGTGTGACGCATATGTATTTGGTGCCTCCTTGTACCAATATCTCTGTATATATATTCACAATACAAAAGGACATTAAAATATGCATCAAACAATAAGAAAATGAGATTGTTAAGACATAGATAATATAAACTGAGTATGGCAAAAAAACAATATATGAATGAGTGTGATTAAAAAATAATAGGAAAAAGAGTTCATCTAAATAGAATATAACCAAAAAAGAATTTTCTCAGTGAAGTTAGTTCTCCTCACTTTTATAAAGTAAAACAAAATTACATTAGAATAACCAATCTCTTCTCATTTTAAACCATATCTTATAACGTCTCAAACTATTGAGTTACATCTGTCAGATCTTAATCAACGAAGAAGTTGTACAGGACCGACAGATTTCAATCCTTTACAACTTTCTTTCATCATTATATAATAATTAACTAATTAAAAATCAAATTCTTTATGAAACTTTCTTCAATAAAATGTTCTATTCATCGTTTTTTTTAATAAAAAAATAATTGTTGTTACAACTTCTTTTGGTTATTTTAATTTTAACAGCTAAGTAGTTATGTATCATTAATTTTCACACTAAAAGATAGTGCTCTAAACCAATGTTTATATAAACTTTTACTTGATTGATCGTTTATTTTATCATTCTATGGGTTATTTTCTTCCGAAAATACTTTAATAATCTAGTACCTAGTTATTATTTATTTATTTATTTGAACACATAAATGTTGGTACAAAATGGTACCAAATATATATGCGCCATACCATATTTGTGTGTGTGGGCTGTGATACTCCCCGGGTGCCCAGACTGAAGCAGGCGGCTATCTTAAGAGGCCACACCCCGAGCCTTTGACCTAAAGGTCTAACCCACAAGGCAGTAGAGCATCGTGAGGATATGCAGTCCCATGGTAGACGGTGACCAACGATTGGTTCATACGACATTTGTTCTCGCAGGATACTGGAGCCCATGTGCACCATCGATTTGGTTTGGAATCCGGTTAAAGCGCCGGACATTCGCTTTTCGTCCTCTCATTTTCGTAAACAACACCCCTGTGGTGAGAGAAGGCAGTGATTAGGACTTCCCTGACAGAGGTTGTATACGCGTGGCCATGTGAGAGCATTTCGAGAGGGAGAGCGAACTCCCCACTCTTGGTCATACCAGTGCATTTGGGGGCAGTATTTAGTTACCATTCTTCTTAATTCTAGTTTAATTACTCCTTTCAATAATAAACTATAGTATCTGTACGTAATATTCATTTTATTATATAATACAATTTATTGTTATCAATTTATATAACTATAAATAGATGATTATATTTAAAACAAAATTATGAACAGTAAAGATAAGATGTATTTTAAGGATTAAATTAATAATAACTATGAAATGATATAAGTATAATAATAATAATAATAATATAGTATTTTGTTTTTATTCTTTTTATTGATTATCCAAATTATAATGCTTGTTCCTGTTAATTATAATTAATGAATTGAATACAATTCCGGTTAACAATGATTATGTTCTCATTGATCCATATTTTTCATAAGCTTTAAGTTAGTGATAAATAATGTAGATAGAAGAAAGTAACCGATATTTTTCTTTGTATTGTGTTTTTTTTTATCAATGGTAACCTTAAAATCTATCTCTATGTTAATGATGTGTAAAGTTTGAATATCTTTGACTTGAACATTCAATTATTGAACTGAAACATTATTATCTTCATAAATGTTCTTTTTTCTTTGAAGTGTTGTAGAATATTTATTACTCCTTTAAAATGAGTTGTAATATGCGTTTATATGTCGTGTTAACATTTTAAGTCAATTATCTCGTTAAAAGTTTTTTGTTTACTTCATATCATGTGTCAAGTTGAATATTTAGTCAATAATACATTCGAATCACCACTATTATGCACTACAACTCCCGGGTGGGTAATGTTAGGATTTGGCTGAGTGATTTGAAGTTGAGGTCATAGATCAACCGATGAACTTATGAGTGAATCTTAGTCTAAAATAAGTAACACACTGTAGTTGTTGTTATCCTTGACCTTGATTTAATGATTGGTCAATTAACTCAAAATTGATCGCTATTTCATAAAAATAGTACTAATATCTATTCATTCAAACACTACGCTCAACTATCAATGACCCTATCGATTTATATAGAAATAATGAGGAGAAAGCTCAAGTGTCAATAAAAGCTAAAACAGTATTTTATTCCATCAAGCTACCACTAATGTTGCGGTGTAACTTTCTGGTTTATTTTTAATAAAATGTTATTGTTTTTCTTCAAATCGGAACAGATATGATTCCACTTTTTCCCCTTTCCACTTGTTCATTAGCTTTCACTGTAAACCTTTAGTTTTCCTTACCTCATGTTACTAAAAAAGGTATATAACAGTGTAATGAAATGTTCATGATGATAATAACATCATGTCAATTATCAGAAACATTTATATTATAACTATTGTTGTCCATATTTTTCAGTCTTCTTTTTTGTTAAAATAGGGTATAGGGAGGCGTAAACTTCCTCAGCCTTATTTGCCTGCTAATCGACGTCAACGGGAGGATGGTCCACGATATCAAATGTCTCGATGGACACCTTATATCAAAGATCTTATGGAGGTAAGTAATCTGACTAATAATTCAAATACTGTTTTGCTTCATTAACGATTAATGTGATATGCTAAAACGATTCGTTGTTGAGCGAGGGCTGTACACACACTTCTTATAATGCTGATATGGGAAAAAGATAAGTGAAATCATGAAAATGTTAATTAAGGGAAAGGAATTTTAATGAGTATCATAGGTGAATGTTTTATGTTATTCAATGTACTTAGGATAGTGGTATAATACAGAAATTTTGTCGATTTAATATTTTCGATGTGGCAAAAATAGTTCAAGAGGATTTTCAATAGTGATTAAATTATCTGAATAAATTATAAAATTATTATCCTTAGCGTTAACATAATGTACAATACCATTGAGAAACAATCATAAAAATACCTATGTGCTGTACAACATTGATCAACTATGTTATTGTTCGTATAACATCTGACTGTTTGATTCAAAGAAAAATGTTTTACAATTTCATTGTTGCTTTAATTATAAATTGTTTGTTCTATTTTACAATGAGAATGAGAATCGTTTAAGACGAGTGTGTCGAGAATAAAAGTCAGTTATATATTACTTGTTTAAATCTGATTGAAGGTAAGTCAGCTTTTATTATCTCAGCTGATTAACTAAGTATCAATGCAATAACTCAAAGACTATTCGTTAACTCGGAAATCGATTGATTTTTTTCGTTCCATCCATAGATGAAAATTTTTGGAGATATTTAGTCAAGAGAGAGAGAGAAGTTTTGGGAACTAAGATGTATTTTCGAATTGTTTGTTACTTTTATCCTATTCTTTTTCAGTTAAAAATTATGAACATGGTAACAGTGTAGATTATTTCATGTATGTTATATTTCATCTTTTACCTCTTATTTTGTTGTAATCTCTCAGTGACATAATATAAGTGTACTAATCACTTCGACGTTTTTTAACTTAAGGATGCTGCTGAAGATAAATTGGATCCGAAATTATTTCAGTACTTTGGTGGTGGCCCTGTTCGTGGTCCTGGAACGCGTACAGGAAATGCACCAATGTCTGCAAGATATGGAATGTGGCATCGGGATAAAAGTCAACAACCACGTTCTGGACCTAGACTAATATTCTTTGTAATCGGTGGAATATCCTATTCAGAAATCCGTTGTGCATATGAATTAATGAATACTGCGCTAGGTAAACAATGGGATATTATCGTTGGTGGTACCCATATACTCGTGCCGGAAGCATTCCTAAAGGATTTGGAGAAACTGTCTTATCCACCAGGGACAGCGCCTCCATCGGTTAGCAGTGGGACATCAGTTATTGTAGGTGCTGGCGGGGAAGCAGTGTGAAATCAGTATACCCCATAAATGATTTATATTTCAATATGTAATTCACAAGAGATTGCAAGAGATTTCCTTATGATTTCCACTGAATAACAACTTTATTTACTTATATTGATTTATCTTTCGTCGCACACTTCTTCGCTAGTCAATATCATTTCATTGATGCTGATGATTATAATTGTTACTATTAATATTACTATTATTTCCAACAAGAACTTCATTTGTGTTTAGCACTTCACCTAATCACTCACAACATTCCTCATACGCTCAACTCTTGAGCGTATTTTCTTGTTCTCTATCGACGTTTTTCCTCATTTCCTTTCTCATACGTACGCAATCCCCTACAGATCATTGATTTAATGTCAGCAGAAAACATGACCAGCTTTCTTTATCTACGTTTATTTAATTATTTATTGGTTTGTTCATGTTGTTTTTGATATTTGCTTATTTATTACTTCCTCCAATTTTCTACATCATATATATACATAGTTATTAAATTAGTATTGTTCATAGAATTTTTGTGTCAATACTACGTGCATTTGTCAATGATTATGCCTTCTCCCTTTCCGTCTTCAGTCACACTGTTTCTGAGGCTTACGTGACATTCTATAATTAGTGTGGATCACACTCGATGCAACTCCGCCTGTAGCTCTTATAGGGTTGCTGCCGGTCCCAAGCCCGGGTAAAGGAGGAGGGTTGGGCATGGGGTTAGCGTCCCCATCCCGTAGAAAACTAACTCGCTAAAAAAACGCTTACCAGAAAAAATAATCCAAACCATTTTAACTCTGCCCTGGGAGTTAGAAGGTCTTCGTTTAGAAGAATTATGACGCTTCATGGTGAAAGCCGAGTTCCTTCGGAAGCCACGAGGCCGATGCTCCTTCTAACAACCAGAGCAAAAATTTTTATAGGTACATGGAACGTTCGAACAATGTGGGAAACCGGGAAGACCAGTCAAATATCAATGGAAATGAGGAGATACAACTTAGCAGTACTGGGAATCAGCGAAACCCACTGGACCCAAGCTGGACAGAAAAGGCTAGCTACGGGAGAGATGCTGCTATACTCCGGTCACGAAGAGGACAATGCTCCACACACTCAGGGAGTCGCTCTTATGCTGTCCAAAGTAGCACGAAATGCACTTGTAGGATGGGAATCTCACGGATCCAGAATCATCAAAGCATCATTCAAAACAAAGAAGGAGGGGATCTTAATGAATATTATCCACTGTTATGCACCCACCAATGATAGCAACGACGAAATTAAAGATCAGTTCTACGAGCGGCTGCAGTCAATCATTGAGAAATGCCCAAGAAAGGACCTCACCATTCTGATGGGAGATCTAAATGCCAAAGTCGGAATAGACAACACTGGATACGAAGATATTATGGGACGACATGGACTGGGAGAAAGAAACGAAAATGGAGAAAGATTTGCAAATCTATGTGCATTCAACAAATTGGTCATAGGAGGTACAATATTTCCACAAAAGCGTATACACAAGGCTACATGGATCTCACCGGACCACACTACAGAGAACCAAATAGATCATATTTGCATCAACAAAAAATTCCGAAGGACAATGGAAGATGTGAGAACCAGGGGAGGTGCTGACGTAGCTTCAGATCACCACCTAGTTGTAGCCAATTTGAAACTGAAGCTAAAAAAGAACTGGACAAGTGGACAAACAGCACTACAAAGGTTCAATACAGCCTTCCTTTGAGATACTGACAAACTCAGTGAATTCAAGATAGCTCTCAACAACAGGTTCCAAGCCTTACAAGATCTACTGAAAGAAGAAACTACTATGGAGGACAACTGGAAAAGCATCAAAGAAGCATTAACTTCAACGTGTCAAGAGGTTCTCGGTCTAAAGAAATACCATCATAAGGAATGGATCTCTACAGAAACACTGGACAAGATCAAAGAAAGGAAGAACAAGAAGGCAGCAATAAACAACAGCCGAACACGAGCAGAGAAAGTCCAAGCACAGGCTGAATACATAGAAGCAAACAAATAAGTGAAGAGGAGCATTAGAGCCGACAAGAAGAAATACGTGGAAGAACTAGCAACGACGGCAGAAAAAGCTGCTGGAGAAGGAAATATGAAACAGCTTCACGATACAACGAAGAAACTAGCAGGGAAATACAGTAAACCAGAGAGACCGGTCGAAGACAAAGAAGGCAAGCCAACCACTGAAATTCAACAACAGCGGAACAGATGGGTAGAATACTTCGAGGAACTCCTGAATAGGCCGGCTCCTATGAATCCACCGAACATCGAAGCAGCACACACAGATCTTCCTATAGATGTCAACTCACCAACGACGGAAGAAATTAGAATGGCCGTCAGACAAATCAGAAACGGGAAAGCAGCAGGACCCGACAACATACCAGCTGAAGCACTGAAATCAGACATCGAAGCAACCACAAGCATGCTTTATCTTCTATTCAAAAAGATTTGGGAGGAGGAACAATTGCCGATGGACTGGAAAGAGGGACACCTCGTCAAGATTCCAAAGAAAGGAGATCTGAGCAAATGTGGAAACTACAGAGGCATTACACTACTGTCAATACCAGGAAAAGTCTTCAACAGATTGTTGCTGAACCGGATGAAGGATGCAGTAGACGCCCAACTTCGAGATCAACAAGCTGGATTCCGTAAGGATCGGTCGTGCGCAGACCAAATTGCAACACTACGGATCATCGTCGAACAATCAGTTGAGTGGAACTCATCACTATACATCAACTTCATTGATTATGAAAAGGCATTCGACAGTGTAGATAGGAGGACATTATGGAAACTTCTTCGACACTACGGAGTTTCTGAGAAGATTGTCAATATTATCCGGAAATCATACGACGGACTACAGTGCACAGTAGTGCATGGAGGACAGCTAACAAATGCATTCCAAGTAAGAACCGGAGTCAGACAAGGCTGTTTACTCTCTCCCTTCCTCTTTCTCCTGGTGGTCGACTGGATTATGAAGACCTCAACATCTGAAGGAAAACACGGAATACAATGGACAGCTCAGAATCAATTAGACGATTTGGACTTCGCAGATGACCTAGCCCTCCTATCACGTACACACGAACAGATGCAGATGAAGACAGCCAGTGTAGCAGCAGTCTCTGCATCAGTAGGCCTCAGTATACACATACACTAGGAGAAAACCAAGGTCCTCAAATTCAACACAGAGAACAACAATCCAATCACTCTTGATGGCGAAACTCTGGAAGATGTAGAATCCTTCACATACCTGGGAAGCATCATCGATGAACAAGGAGGTTCAGATGCAGACGTAAAGGCGAGGACTGGCAAAGCAAGGGTCGCATTCCTACAATTGAAGAACATATGGAACTCAAAACAACTTTCAACCAATATCAAAGTGAGAATCTTCAATACGAACGTCAAGGCAGTTCTACTGTATGGAGCTGAAACTTGGAGAACTACAACAACCACAATCAAGAAAGTACAAGTATTTATAAATAACTGTCTACGCAAGATACTCAACATCCATTGGCCAGATACCATCAGCAATAGCCTTCTGTGGGAGAGAACAAACCAACTTCCAGCTGAAGAAGAAATTAGGAAAAGACGATGGAAATGGATAGGACATACATTACGCAACTCGTCAAACTGCATCACGAGGCAAGCCCTAACTTGGAATCCAGAAGGGAAGCGAAAAAGAGGAAGACCAAAGAACACATTGCGTCGGATAATAGAAGCAGATATGAAAACGATGAATTACAACTGGACGGAGCTAGAAAGGATTGCCCAGGACAGGGTTGGATGGAGAATGCTGGTGAGCGGCCTATGCTCCTTCACGAGGAGTAACAGGCGTAAGTAAGTAAGTACACTCGTTGCGTTATATATATGTATATCCAATAATAAAAAATGTTAATTTTATGTTTCTCTTGGTAATCACATGTAACACATTACCAACCACCTCAGTCGATGGATATTTAACCTAATCAACAACTTTCTATCTTCTCTGCTGTACCTCAGCATTGCTTATTGGGTGACCTCAACATACACCAGCAAAGCTTAGAAGGCATCTGTAGTCGAATATTAGTCGCTTACTAATGTTTTCTATCCCTGAAAGCTGTTTTTCATAGTCATAAAATAGAGCAAAAACAACTGCGCAGTGTACTCCTGGCTTCGCTTGCAGATTAACCTCTCACCTTAGCCACAAAGACGTAATTTGGCAAAACTCAAGAGAACTCTCTAATTTCAGCACCGAGATTCTTTCAAATATCAGCTCACCAGTGCTAATGAAGCTCCAATCATTAACGAATTGATCAACTTACTCAACTACTTCACTCAAAAATAATCAATGTAGGCAATGGTGTGGATCAGCGTGAAGCAGCATTTTAGATTAAGAGGAAGAGAAACACTCCAGACATGCTGGTATTGTTACTCAAGGCTACCAAAGGACTCCATGGTCAGTGTCTTCATTGAATATAACTATGTCATCTGCGTACTTTAAGTTCATAAGTGGACCATTTGGTAAGTGATCAATCCCTGAAAGTTAGATGAAGAAAGTGTGATTTCAAGGGAGAAATGTATGAGATGAAAAGAAGATAGTGAACAATTCTGACGAAGACTACTTGGAGTTGAGAATTCTGGTGACAAATCGTGCTTGAGTGGGAGGTTTCGATTTTTTGTGTACTTAGTAGGTAATTTATACTCCCAAACTCCAACATAATCTCTCGGATACCGGAGTTGAGTCCCACCTTAAGGCCAAGAAATACAGCTACATTCGGTCGTTGGTATGCTTATATTCTAAAATCTGACGGAAAATGAATAGTGTAGTCAGTATGTTTGCGTGCAGATTCGAAGTCAGCCTGACTTAGTTTCGCTTTTCACAAGTTCTCTTAGGCGTTAAATGATGATAGAAGCTAATATTTGAAGAATGTACTCCTCTCCTATAAAGTGAGATGACCAGTGATCGAGGCCAACTCTCAAACTCTACCTATTATATCAATCAGATTCACTGTTAAGACTAG